GATGAGAAAAACAAAAGAAAGGATTTGTTATTCATTTTACTGGCCAAACATGTCATGAGATATAGGAGAATACTGCAAAACTTGTAAGGACTGTCAATTACAAAGTAGAGAAAGAATCAGAGATCTCAATTCAGAGCCTTGAATTTCCCTTTGACACAGTAAACATTGATATCATTGGTCCAAATGAATCTTAATCAGTGCATAAGCACAAATACATACTGTGTTCAGTCGACCAACATTCTAGATAGCCAGAAGCGGCCCCTGTGAGAACAATTATGGCAAAATCGATATGCGAAGCATTATTGGAAATCTTTGATGAAAAGGGGCAAATATTAGGTAATAGGAAGCGACTAAGGTAACAATTTTATTGCAGAATCAACACAAGAATTTAATGCTAGATTTATGACATCAGGACATTCATAAAGTTCAGGATTAATTGAATGGTACAACAAAGTTCTAAAGCATATGCTGCATCATATCATTCGAAACAACTCTAAAAATTGGAATACACACATTTCATACCTGTTTTTTGCTTACTCAGAAATTCTAAATTATACTATAATGTATATAGCGATGGAAGTATTAAAATCATCATAGTCATTATTAGGTCAAATCAGGTAAAAGTAGTGTTGAATATCTACAGGAGTTAAAAATGAACTTAGAAAAAGCAGCATGGCAAGCACCTATGATAGCAAATGTTAATCAAACTAGGAGATCAAGTGTATCTGCTGATTCCAGAGTCTAGTAACAAATCATATGCCAGATGGACAGGACACACAGAAATAGTAGCTCATTGTGATCCAGATCCTTATAGAATAAAACTGACAGATGGAAGAATAAGGAGAGTTCCCATAAATAAAATCAGGAAATTTAATCCAAAAGTATGGCTATAAGGTGTAATATTTGAAAATGGAAGAATTGGGAGAAATCCATCCCACACCTAGTGTAAATGACAAATCAGATCATTTTCGTCTTTGCAAGACTTAAGCCATTTAGATAATGATAAAGGAAAAGACATGATAACTTGTTGAGAAAATAAGAAAAGTCATTTATAAATAAGGTACAAATTGCCAAAGTAGAGAACATAAATTAAGATTAAATGACACCGAATAAAAGAAGCCATATATTTATCGAATTCCAGAATCAATGAAGCCGCAAATAGACAAATAAATCGAAGCTGTCTATAAATCCCAAAGACTAGACAGAAAAATACAACAAAGCATTTGAGGAGTTAAAGAAATGTCTTGTGGAGACATCCAGTCTTTATAACCCTGTTCCAAAGTTAAATTTTATAATTCAATGTGATGCTTCCTCAACAGTTGTTGGTGCCTGCTTATTTCAATAGAAGAATGGAATGATTAGTTATTCTAGCCAGAAATTAATCAAAGCACAACAAGCATGGTCAACCTTAGAGAATGAAGCCTACACTGTGATTTGGAGCCTAAAAAGTTTAAAACATGGGTCTTTGGATCACATGTGGAAATGATAACTGATCACAATCTGTGAACTTGCGTTATGACCAGCTTTATCCGATCATCAGAAGTTTTGCTACTTGGCATATATTAGTTTATTATTAAAGATATTTTGCTTTCTTACTTTTTTGATAACTTAAATATCATCTTAATGAATGTAAGTTTATGAAAATGCAGACTAAAATAAGTAATTATACAAACTCAATTAATAAATGCTGTTTAAATACCGGTCTTCATGACGAATCTAAAATACTGCGCCACTCAGAGGGTTAAAAAGAATGAACCACAATCTTCTAAGCTAAAAGATGGACTCTTTCTTTACAAATGTATGATATTACAATGTCGCATTGCTCAGGTACTAAGCTGAACAATGCCAATGCGTTGTCCAGATTGGAGATCATCGAGGGACTTGTGTGAAAGTAAAGAACTCTTTATAGATATTTATGAACTTTTTGGATTATTGAAACTTTTTTGCATTTTCTTTTGTAGCTAGTACAGTCAAGTCTTTTATGTGTTTACGTATGTGCACAATACCTTTACACATGCGCATAATACGTTTATGCATGCACGTTTAATGTATAACCACAAAGCGAAAGCATGTTTTGATGTCCAAACAAAAAGTGGAACTGCTGCGAAAAATGCAAAAATGGGGGGGGGGACATCGCAGCGCGCAACGAACTGGAAGTTGATCTGTCAGCACTATCTTTATCTTCAGGGCAGATGTTTTTATTTGATTCGGCTTATAATTCCTTACTAATTGTAGTATTTCATCTTGATGTATCCCCGTCTTTGATATGATTTAAATCAAATTCCTCGTCATTATAAATATCACGAATACACATCAAATAGTTTTCTGGTTGCAATTTTCTAATTTCGACTATGCGTAATGTATGCTTTACGCATGTGCGGGTTGAAAGAAATGTTTAACAAAATAAACAAATAAATATTAAGCTTTTTTTTTGTAAATTTTGATACCCTTTAGATCATGATTGCTCTTTATTTCATAAATTACGGTTTCATATTTTTAATTTTATAATTTCTGCATGCCATCTTACCAGATTTAAACTGATGATCTATAATCCAGAAAACCGATAATCCGGAATCGCCGAAGTCCCGACGAGTTCGGATTAAAGACTTTTGACTGTATATGACATCCATACAGAATAAGTATTATTCTTTGCATTTCAGAATTATTTTGAATACTAATTATTAATCATTTGTATGTTACAGTTTTAGAAGAAGTCTGATAGTAGATGTAGAAGTAATCTGTACAAATATTTTATTATGTATCTTTTAACTTCATTATTCATTGAATTGTTGACTTTAATAGGTAACTTTTTTTATTTGATGTCACCATATTTTGTCATATATTTCAATAGGCTTTCAACCTATTTCAATCTTGGACCGGGAGGATGATGTAGTGGTGATGCCAAATAATGTGATGCATACTGGGTGCTAACTCTAAATTTTAGAAGCACCAGGAAGCTGTTAATAAAAACAAAATTACGTTGTATTAATTAATGTATATATTGCAATTATTAGTAACATAGTTTTTAGTCTAGTGTGCAGTTTTGCGTGTGTAATAAAAATTTTAAAATAAAAAGAAGACTGAACATTCTAATTTACCTTCAGTGTACTGAGAGTAAATGGGTAATTATATTTATACTCAACTTCACTTAACTAGTCGGACTTGGCACCTTATTGCCTCACATATTTTCCTCAGTTTTGTGCTATTGCTTAAAAAACAATAATTCTAGGCTCCTGATTGCTTCACGAGATCATGTGATTTTGTCAGAGGCGAAAGTGCTTCATTTTCACTTCTTTTTCAGATTCTCTTAGGAAGCTACCTGAGGAATTTTCAACCTGTCAAGCTTCTTCTTGGAATCAAATGAGACAACTTGAAACAGCTGCTAAGAATTAGCAGCTGAAAACAAGTTTTAAAACAAGTTTCTAAGTATCCATCAATCAATTCATTGTCATTAAGGTGACATACAGAAATTTCAGCTGGTCAGCAGAAAAGTTACTTTTACTGCATACCTTAAAAAAAAAAAAAAATCAATAAGTAGGGAACGATGTTGGTTAAGTAGTAATCAGTAAGTAGGGAACGATGCTGGCCTTTGCATACTTTAAACATGAAAAAGCTAGTTCATATAAGTATGTAGATCTAAAACGAGAGTAGATATATTCACTATACTTGGAATTAGGATGCATTTCTCCACAGACTTATTTTCAAAAACCTTTCTCAGTTCTATAGTTCATAAGGTTACATCAGTTTAGAGGCATGATTTCATTTTCTAACCTTTAATATTACATAATGCTGGGCATAATGCCACAATCCCACCATCTTGACAGACAAAATTAAAGGCAGACTGTCAATGCCTTTTATGATAGTAAGGAAGATATGATTGTTTGTTTCTATGAGTTCCAACTAAGTTGTGCTTGCATGATGAAACATAATTGTTAGATTGATTACTCTAAGTTACAAAAGTTAAAAAGTAAAATTTAAAAAAGAATGATTTGAATCATTCTTTTTACATCCTGAAGAAAATGGGATTAGTTGGGAAGAGGCTGTTTTCTTAAATTTATCAGCACAATAAAAATAAATTTTACTTTTTAACTTTTGTAACTTGTCTGTATTTTAATTCAGCATCTCAAATATAACAATATTTACATTTGAAATGCTGAATTAAAATACAGGTAATAAATTCACAGTACAATCTTTATACCAATTTCTCTTTCCAGTAAATGACGGCAAGCAAAATGGGTATAGTCATTACACAAACACACATCAAAAGAACTTTTAAATTCATAACTGAATTTTTACTTCATTTGTTTTTATACAGTACAGAAAATGTGTTATTTTGCTAGGATATTATTCTTTATAAACGTGTCAAACAAGTGCAACCATTTAGATATGCCTACAACTTTATTAATTTAATGCAACATTCTGAAATATCAAGCAAAATGACATTAAAAAACACAGGTTTAAGAAATTCAAACCCAAGACTAAAAATTTCAGATTATTTTTACTTTTATGTGACTCTTAAAGATTTCAAAATGTTTATTGAATCAGAACATAAGTTAAATCACCTTACTTTTGTAATAAAAAATTCTTGACACACTGAAAACTTTTTGATACTTTTTTTTATTATAATTTTGTGAGCAATTTGATTATGCATACACTAAAAGCAAATTTCACTTCTTATTCTAACAGCAAACAAGCACACTAATTTTAAAATTCATCAAATAGTAATTTTAAAATTTCTGCAAGAAGGCACTGAAATAATACAGATTAATATAGAAATATTTTTTTATTTCACAGCTATAATGTGCACAGCATCTACAATGATCAAATTATCAAACATGATTACACACTTAGAGATGCAAAATTGTTAAAAATTAATTTCCTTTCCAACCTTGACAAAAATTCACACACACATATATACTATATCACTTTGTTTTTTTCATAGATTAATTTAACCTGAGATTTATTAAAGCAGAATAAATTAAATATATAAATGGTACTACCATTTTGCAGTGAAGAACTACCTCCTGAAAGTGCACCTCGAGGTAAAGTTCCAGATGGAGTGAGGCCTTTAAGTTGAAGAACACTTTCACTCTCTTCCCTGTAAATATTCAATATTGATAAAAATATAAACACAATATGATTTAGCCACAAATATCAAACACAAAATTAAAATGAAATAAAGGGCATGTATAAATAAACCTCATTCAATATTTAGTTGCACAAATTTGTACTGAAATAAAAGTTACCACATTTTGAAAAATTACATAACATTTGGTAATGATGTAAGAATATGAATTAATTGAAGAGTTACTTGTAAAATGCTCCAAAATACTTTTACAGTGAACTTTTATTTCATTTTAATGATATAAACATTCTTTTCTGAACATTACCCATTTTTTCAATAATAATATCAGTTTTAAACTAATATATGTCCAGCCTCCTCTGAATAACCCTACTAAGTTAATAAATGCAGTGGCTGAATAAATATTCTAAATAGTCTAATTTAAAATCATTAAATATAATTATTATTACTATCAGCTTATCTTTAGAAAATACTTATGACCCTGATACAATATTTCTACAACTAAGTACTGTTATCAATCAGGTAAAAATCTACTTAACAGCAATCTTTTTTAAAACTTTCAGTCTTAATTCTCAACAGATATTAAATACTTAAATTTTTTACAGGGCAGTTTATTATAACGCTAGTGAGATATAGTGTATTTAGACACATGCAACCTAGTAAAATGCAGTAAGATTAGAAAGGAGACCAGTTAGGTTAGGCTCAGATAATGATAATTTTAATAGTGTTGTATTTTTTAAATTATTCCAATTGACACTGAAATGTTATGACTAAATCAAGCTAAATATTTACAGTGATAATAATAATCAATCAAAGAAGAAAGAAAGAAACTACAAAGTCCCCCTTTGCAGGGCTAATTTTATTCAACATTAGTTTAGTAATTAATTACTCAAAGCTTTGCCTGATAAATACACAATAATTCAAGGGAGAAAAATGTTAAGGCAGACAAATAGCATTTGGCTTTTAAACCTGCAGGTAGTTATTAATGAAAGAATGAGATTCTGGTCAGATATAGAAGAGATCTACATATCAGAATTAGCTTTTGGATGCATTAACCTTCTCAGCATTACGAGTATCGGAAACATTCTCCTACCTCTGTGACTATGACTGTAACTTTAACGGACTCTTAAGTTTTGATTTCGAATTGTAACCATATAAAATATTTTCCAAAATGCTGTAAAATGTGCTTTAACTTTAATGCTTTAATAAATGTCTTCAAAATATTAGATCACTGTTGTGAATTCTGATGAATTTTAGATTTAAGCAATGAACATATTTGCCACCTACAGAAATGGTAGAAGAAACCTCAAGATGAGTAATCACCATTCCTTTATTGAAAATTTTGAATAACAAGTTTTTCATGAAATTTAAAAGTTTCCCAAAATGTAAGGAATACATACTACTTTCTTGATTATAATTTAAAAAACAATATTTTAATTTTGTACTTTAATTCTTTTTTTTTTTTTTTTCCCCAATATACATCCAATCTGAAATTGGATTAGAATCTGGCAAAACAATTCATGCATAATGAATTGGAAAACAATCCCTCTATATGTAACTTTACATCAATAATGCTTAGAGGGTTAAGCTGTTCTTTGTCAAATATCACTTAAGTGCTTGAAGCTTTAAGCAATATTATGTATATTTCAGTCTCTAATCCACATTCCCCTTTTTTGATTAAACATCTTTATTCATTATTAAAACCATATTCATCGTTATTCACATCAAGAATAATGACGCCCACTGAGCACGTTCTATTACCGGAGAGGTTTTCTTTTCCCTCTTAGCATGACTAATTAATAAAAAATCTTGTGAAACAAATCCATAATTATTTTTTTTTAAATCACTTACTTTAAAGCAAGGATACAAATGTGTCCAATGAATCTGTTCCTAATTAAGTCTTAAAAATTGCTAAAAAATTCACCACAACACCTGCTTTAAGCAATAACTAATCAGGGTTCAATTATATAGCTAATTAAAAAATATCTTACATTAGAAGCAGCGAAGAGGGGGAAAAATGTGTGGCATGGACGCACTCACCTGATCAATGCTCATATTTACAGAGCATTAAGTGTTGCCACACTATTTGTATTTGGGATGCAAACTGAAGAAGATATCTGGATTTATTCCGCATATCTTCACCTTACCGCGTGGAGTTGTAAAAAATCTTCCCAATTTTTTACTAATACTTTTCCTTTTCTAGCATGTTTATAGGCAAGGTTTATATGTTAGTTAGCTTCACAATGTTTATATGTTAATTATGGTTTTTTAGGTTAGGTAACCTCCAAAAATATTAATTCAGCACCTAAATAACTAGAAAATATCAAAATGTTGAATCTAATAATTCTTTGTTTTGAAACTGAATGGCAATGATTTCCAAAGCTATTTAGAAATAAATGTAATCATGAATTATGCTTTTTTCTAGAAAACAGACAAAATGCTATTTTTATATATTTAAAACTGTAAATTTTGAGATTCCAGTAATGCAATCAGTAGGATGTTATAAACCATATTATTAGGATCCAACTTTATTATTTGCATTCTGTGAGGTGTTTTGATGTTAGTTTTCAGATATTACGGGATGAATGAACTTTAAGGGATGAGTTGCCAAATTCAATTATTGTTTACTTTAATTATTATCGGGTTTCAATGAAAGATTCCCACCATCACAAATATCGTCTGCACAAACAATTCATGCAGGCGTGTTTAATCCTATTTTGTCAAACAATTTTTGGTCTTTGAAAAAAAGAAACTTGCTTTAGAACACTGTGTTGTGTAATTTGTAAAAACATGTCGTTATCATTAATTACAACGTGTCTGAAATGGAACTATCATGTTACCAGATTAGAACCATCATTTACTTCCAGTTCTGTGGCAAAAAGTCCACTACAGAATGTCCCCAAATGATGTGCACAGCTTTAGGTACTAATGTTGTATCATATGACACTGCAAAAGTTTGGTACCGAAAGTTCAAAAACAAGGCCTATGACATTCAAGAAGAGCGCTCTGGCCGGCTTGCTGATGATGATGAGGGCCACCTGCGAGAACTTATGGAAGACGATAAGTTATGCTATTACTCGAGAGCTTGCTAAGGAGTTAGACATTAGTGCCATGTCCATTACTTTTGCTATGCATCACATTAACTTGATGTACAAGTTCAATCACTGAGTGCCGCATGAACTGGCTCAAGCAGATAAAGACAGACATATTTGGGCCTACACTAATCTGCTATAATATTAATGCAAGGACAAAATTATGGACTGGATCATCCCTTGTGATGGAAAGTGGATTTATTTCAACAACACAGGCCAAAGACGGGGCTAGTCTGTGCCCGGTGAGCCTATCAGCAGCGTCACAAAGTGCAATTTTACCAGGGCTATTGAGTCGGTAGGGAAAATGACCGACTCCACCTCGACTCCCTCATGTATATATGTAAACATATACACATGGGTTACAGCTTATTTTTTTTTTAATATAAAAGAAGTAATAAATACTACAGAAAAAAATTTGATGGCATAGCAAATTATTTATATTAACTAGCATTTATTATGAAATGGAAAAAAATGGCTTTAGTTATTTCTAAGAAACAGTATAACTTTGGCAAGATCTTTTTTGTTGGAAGACCATAGATCCGATTTGATAACCTTTACAGCCAAAAAGAGTCTTTCCACACTAATTTGAGTAGGAAGAAGACTGTTACCGTTTGGGTTACTTCTTTTAACTTTTCAGGATAGATTTTTATAAGTTCTAAAAGAGGTGTCTTGCAAGCGCAATCATATTTCTCTATTTCTTCAAATGCTGTGTAGAAATCTTGTTTGTGTTTTTCATTTTTATATCTAAAGGCTCTTGGTTCTTTATTTTCATTCGCTTTGCCTTAACCATTTGAATATTATCCAAAAATATTTCTCAAAATCTAATTCATCACTGGAAGAGGATGATAGAGACTCAGTTGCAATGTCTGCAGTTTGACTGTCCTGTTTTGAACTCTCCAATTGTTCTGAGAATAATTTCATTCTTAGTGAAAGTTCATAGGTGGCTTTCTTTGCCATTTTAATTTGTCCATCATCCAAGAAAATTTGGTGTTTTGGATCTACATATATTGAACTCGGCAAGATCTCATTGTCTAGCAAAATAGTTTCTCTTTTCTTCATTGAAGAAATGATTCCTTCTGCAATAAACTCTCCATTTCAGGAAGGACAAACATCCCATTCTTCCATTCTCGCCTCCTGTTAATTCTTCAGATTGCAGCTTTTTTGTGGCTATATACGGTGTAGAAAGAAGAGTTTCCAATTCTGCAAGATCATTCCACAGTCTTTCTGTTATTGAAACATTAGGGTTATCTACATCTTCTAAAAAAGTTCTTAATTCTAAAAACCTCTTTATCATCAAATGTGTACATCCTTATAGCGTTGCTTGATCAATCGCTTCCTAAGAATGACATCAATTTTGGGAGTTTTTGCTGTTATTGCTGCTTACCTAAATTTACCAGTGAGATTTGTAACTAAATGAATCAGTTTAATCCCTAATGGCAAATATCACATCCATCCTCCTCCCTTATATTTATTTATTAATATGTCAATAAATTAGAAAATAACTATTCATTAATGTATATAGTTCATAAATAAAAATAATAACTCAGCTTGTCATTAATTTTTCGATTCATTTTAATTTAATTTCAAATTCAAACTGTCCAACAAAAACTGGAGTCGGAGTCACCTGTTTTTAGCGACTCCAGCTCCAACTTCTTTATCCCAAAATCTGCCCGACTCTCCAGCCCTGAATTTTACTAACAAAAAGATATGCTTTGTACCTGGTGGGATTGCCGTGGTATTATCCACAAAGAATATTTGGAAAAAGAAAAAAACCCATATCATATCTAGCGACACGCACAGCTAAACAGGACATTTCTGAGAAACGAAATTCTAGGAGCACTGGTTTAAACGGAACGTTTCCCAGAAATGTTCATCTAGCTGAGGAAGTGATGTTCTCGGCTACGAAGAACATTTTAAAACTTTTCCAAAAATGTTTCTTTTGCAGCTGTGCTCCACATAGAGATAAACCAATCGGATTAAAGTTCTGTTTCTGAAGGATCACGGGCAAGTTTCAATATGGCGATGGCTGCAATTGTTGAGATCCCGGATGGTGGAAATAGAAGCTGATTTAATCGAAGAAAAATGGAAAAAGCCATATATATATTGTTGTAGTATAACTAAAATGACTATAAGTCATTTTTAAGATGTTTATACATTCATTAAATTTATAATCATGGAAATTTCAGAGTAGACAGTATTTTATGACGTGCTTTTGGTGATTTGTTTACAAATTATTTGTCACCAAAATCTGCTTGTATATACGTGACTTTACTTTTTTGCTAATTACTTATGTTTTAAATTGAAATTGCATAATCAGCGACATACCGTAAACAACATGAAAGGTGTGTAAAAATGGAAAACATAGCTTATGTAATAATGAGAACAAACATTAAATTTGTAAGCTATTATTTTCATGTTATTAATGAAATACTTTTTAGATTATAAATACATTAAGATTTTTATTATAAATGCTACATATTGGAATACTGGAATTTTATGGATTTATTATTCTGAATGATAAAAAAACATTTGTATATACATTTATTACTATAAGTCTTATTCATTACATTAATACTAATAAACATACATCAACAACGTCTAAACCATCACATCTCTCTCTCCATACGTATGTAAATATATGACTTATTAGATGTGTGTGTGTGTGTGTGTGTATATATATATAAATGAATACAAAAATGAACATTGCCAAAAAGTTTTTTTGAAATTACTTTTAATTCATGTAATGATCATGTAATTGGCAACAACTATAGTCATCAGTTCTTCGTACATTATCCTGGATATGGAATACACAGTTGAAAAAAAATTGAAGGCATGACTAAAATGCATTTTGTGTAATAGGCTAGTCATTAAAATTCACCCATTTACTCACAACCTCTGCATTTCTAATTAGGAATTTAACAAAAACAAAAAAAAAAAAAAAAAAAAAAAAAACCTGAGCAAGTAACCTAAATGAAATATTTAACATTTTGGGAATAAAATAAATATTTTTTACTGATCACAAAACATATATTAATAAATGATGCTATATTGTGTACATAAAAGTTATTAAATAAATATAAGGATATAAAAATACTGTTTACAATAATAAAATCAGAAATAATGACAAATCACTGAATGTACAATGTAAAAGTATTTACAAACAACAGCTCATTACAAGAATCAGAGTAAAAAAATATACAATTTAAAAGTAACAATTAATTTAATAAACATGTCATTTTGCCAAGGTACTGATACAAAAGTATTAAAATAATTACAAAATATATTTTATATATACATGGAATTTGAAAGCAAATGTCTCTTTCGCCAATCTGAGCAATAACGAGTCTTGTTTAGCTTTTAAGTCTGTTTACCAAGTGAATATGGTAACACAGTTAGGTAGGTTTCGTGGAAATGACGTTCTGAGAAATGTTTCTTTTGATGCCATGTTCCGGCTATGAGTAGCATATGTGATAGTGATTTTTAGGTGTACATCGAGATGCTAGTCTGTGTAGACGTTGCTAACAAGAAAAAATGTCAAACTGAGTTCTGGCACAAAAGGTAATGTTCCATCAAGACAATGCAAGACCACATGTGTTTGCATTCACCTACCTGACTCTGTACAGACTGAAATGAGATTTTTTGCCACACCCACCATATAGCCCTGACATCGCTCCTTCAGACTTCTACCTTTTTTTCACACTTGCAGCTACATCTTGCTGGTGTTATCTTCCATTCTGTACTGGACGTCTGAAATGAGGCTGATCTATTTTTGGACTCGCGGCCACTTAGTTTCTGGGTAGAAGGATTTGAAAAACTACCAAAATGTTGGCAGAAAATCTTCGATTTCGGTGATTGCCACCTGCACTAAAGGTACTGCTATCATATTTTTTCCCTAACTTTATAAGGAACATTTTTTTGTGGGAAACTTTTATAACAACCAGATATTTTGTAAATTTAAAACCACACTATTGAGATTCGCTATTCTGTTAATTTAGTGACGACTGAGGCATTGTTATCGTAATGCAAGATTTCAATTACATTACCTTCACTTAGCATTTCTTTTGATATACGAAATCCTTCATATTCCCAGCTCTCACTGTCACAAATTTCAGTAGCTGGATATAAATTATACCAAGTATTTAAAAAAATGCCTACCAACACAATTTCTCATGATCTTGCAATGTCTCACACATTAAATTTTGTATTAAAATATTTCTAGAATTCTTGGATCATCCTACTTTAGCAACGATTTTTAAAAAGCTACTTTACATGTGCAGACAGACTGTCTGCATTGTCATGTCAAATGTCAATCAGTCAATATACATTGGCTGATTGACAGATGTACAGTTTCAGGAAAGAGCAAATTGGAATCATTACTTAAAACAGCAATTTTTATTAGATTACCGTAATTTCCGGAAGAAACGCTGTGGCGTTTACGTGTTTAAAACTTAAATTTTCAGCGGGTGCGGCATTTAGGTGCACTAAAAATAAAATATTTCCCATGATGGTCATTGTACATAGTTTGGATGGCCTTGTCATTGTGCATAGATTGGTGCTGTTCCCACACAAAAGACCACTCAGTTGCTTTTTGTGAACGTTATTTTGTTTACGTTCTTTCCCTTGAATGGACCTACATGCCTTATTCACCCTAAACGAGATCTCAGAACAATAACATTCTTCCCCCTTTCAAATCAACATTCTCATCATTTTGAATAGTCTCTCTCCTCTGCCATTCGATGAATCTTCCAGGACCCATCCTCTTTCCACCCCTGCCTTTTCTGCAATTTTTTTCAAAGGCCGACACGACTCCACCTGCCTTGCAATAACGAACTCTGACCTATTTCCCCTTCAGCATGAATGGATTTTTCTTGGCATTCTGCCAAATACAGATCCCATCAGTTAGGGTACAAGTACTTGTTGGATAGTTTTTAATTAGGGAGCGGAAAATTTTTGAAAATGTCTCTAAACGGCACAGAAGCTATACATTTCTTACCTTTAATTTATTTTTGAGTTATGGATTCATTTCATGCATTTTTCTTAACTGGTATGTCATAGATCAGTACTTAGGTTGAGTTTTAGCATCTATACGGCCCACGACGATGTCATGCGCAATTTAATCTATTGCGGCGTTTCTGTGTAATTTTAATTTTTTCCCGCCATTTTTCTAGAGTGCGCCGTTTACGCTGATGCGGCCTTTCTACAGAAAGTTAAGGGAGCAGTGCAATTTGCTATGTTAAATGAAATTAAGTTCCTTGGAATCTTCTCCTTCCCCCTTGTGACTAATGTATTAAAAAAAAATCAGCAAATCACATTTAAAATAAATATATCTTTGGGCTTTACTTATTATTATATAGGTCAGAAAAATACTAAACACGCCAAGCAATCAAGGGCTGAAGGTGTTATCATGGTTAACATCAATACAGTGACATTCAGCGGCCATGATGGGATTCCCTAGCCTAGTGTTTGAAAGTGACATACAGGAATTTCAATTAGTCACGAGAACTTGCTTTTTCTTGATGGCCAGATTTTGTAAGTAATAATAAAAAATATTGCTAGTGGTCTGAAAGTCCAGATTTTGAATTTTATAATGTTAAAACTAAGAAGAAATAATTCTAACAATACTTTCATAAATGAACGAATATATTTCTCAGGTTTATAAATATGTAGCAGCAGTTATCTTTAAAAGAAATAACTTACCTTAATACAGAAAATACTCGAGCCATTTTTCCAATAGCTCTGATTTTATTTCTTATAACTTCTTTTCTGGCACTTCCTGCACCACCTGCAGTTAATAAATCATTCAAGAGATTTTTAAGATGCAAAAAAATCTAAAAACACAAGAGAAAGAGTGAAGTACATTACCTTCAAATGTATCATCTCCTTCTGACATTAATTCATCATCAGAACAAATATTGAGCACATTTAACAGCATTTCAGTAACTGAAAAATAAATTAATTGAATACAAAAATATAAATAGTTCAAAAAATTATATATGTGTCTAAAAATAAAATAGGGAGGTAAGTTTAATTGCTATTACATTTGTTACAGTAATGCATATTTAAAAACAAATGTGTGGTAAATTATTAATCACAGTTTTGTATACATTTAGCTACAATTTAATATTTTGGTTCACCTATTCTTTTACTTCTGTGTGTCATAAATAACTACTTAACAAGTCTAAATTATATCTATCTAAAATAAGTTTTGTGCATACTTACATTTCATTCATTATTTTAAAACATGTGGCACTGATAAACAAACTTTATCAATTAAAATTGATAAACAAACAATTAAAGTTACCAGATATTCAATCAATTAAAATTATCACCAAGAAATTTATGCCATGAAATATATCCAAATGGATTTATATTAATAACATAACTGAGGTAAGATAAGTCCAAGACTTCTATAATAAAGCACGTACATATGTATTTGCTTGCATAACATAAAACTGAAATTAAAAAAATATTTATAAACAGTTATTTTGAAAGATATTTTAATTGTCATTAAAAAAAAAGCACTGACTTAAATTTCATAAACAGCATTCACAATATTAACATTCAAAAACTAAGGATGACAAGTAAAGAAAACACACACATTAGAGAAATTCATAGCTAATAGTAGATGTAAACTAATAAAAATAAAAAAATAAAACATATGCCATTTTTTTTAATAAATGAAAACAAAGTTTTTACTTGAAAAACTCAATGAAAATATCTCTGCATCACACTTAATTAACATTTTTATCATTTCACTTTCAGTACAAAACATACATCAAATTGCATATATAACTACGCCATTGTATTCATGATTTACAAGACGCGAAATGTATTAAAAAAAATTAAGGAAATGGGTGGTTTGTAAATTTTCTAATGTGTAGGAAGTGAGAACGAACATGATGAAACATAACTACCCACACGTGCCATTGCGATTTCTTTTGATGGGAGTCCCAGTCATAAGCACAAATATACATTGATATTTCATTGTTCCAGTATAAGCTTTGATGGAAAAATACAGCATGCAAAAAAGATAGTTTTGTACTTAATATTGCAAACTACAGATTAAATTATTTTTTAGTTGTACTGTTTTTTTAAAATTAGAATAAGGTAGGTTTAGAAATGTATTTATCAGTAAATATGAAAAAGAGTACAAAAACTGTACAATACACAAACTGCCATCTCTGTTGCAGATAATGTTAAAGTATCAAAATCTCTTATTTTGATACAAACAACAGAAGGAAAATACATGGTAAGGCAGTGCACATTTTGTATATTGCACAGTATACTTAATTCTTTCTTTATTAAAGGTAGGTAATGCTTTAAAGTATGTAATTTACCAATTAAACCAGATATATTTATGTACATTGCATAAACATATTTTGTACATGCAATAAAAGTCAACCTTGCGGAGGAGCTCGAAATATCAAATTCTAGATTATAAGGTATTTCTCCTACTTCCCTAGCGTGCCTTCGTGGTGTAACGGTAGCACTCTGAGCCAGTATTCCAGAGGTCCGTGGTTCGATTCACGGTGAAGGCGGTTGCATATTTTTCACCTTTTCTGCTTCCAATTAACCTAATGACTCTACAAGTGGCGCTCGAACTAAAAGGGTTGTGGATGATGATTCTCCGCATTTAGTATTTGGCGACTAGGTCCCCTAAAACCCTAGTCACCCTTTAAAATGGGGAGTATATAAGGTATTTCTCCTATTTCCCTAGCGTGCCTTCGTGGTGTAATGGTAGCACTCTGGGCCGGTATTCCAGAGGTCCGTAGTTCAATTCCCGGCAAAGGCAGTTGCATATTTTTCTTTTCTACTTCCAATTAACCTAATGACTCTACAAGATAACATGAATATTATGGATAATTGAGCATACAGAATATATAAAGCCAAATGAACAGAAGAAGAAATTTCCAGTCTAAACTTACAAAAACAATAACTTTATTTTATTTTTTATTTATTTATTTTGTATGAAAAGCTAGTATTTAAAAAATATGCAAGATTTTGAAAAAATGTATTTCAAACTTAAAAGCCAATGCATATTTGTATATCTTTACCACATAAAATTAAAATATTTTAACCTATTATGAAATCTCGTCAACACCACATAAGCTGGCAAAAATTCTGCCAAACTTGTTCCCAGCACAAAGGCCTTTGTATTTTTTAGATACAAAAAATGGATACAGCATATTTTTTACATATATAAATTTTTTATCACAATTTTTCATGTTGCATCCCTATTGTTTATCCATTTTAAAATAAAATCACATACCATTTTCACTAACATAAATTTTCTTTGTAATAGTATCCCTAATATTGAAAATACTCCATTGCATGGTATTCTATAGCAAATAGGTTTCAATCCCCCCCCTTCAAAATGTGAGTAAAATACAGAAAATAGTAATTAGCTTATATTCCTCTTCAGAAAAACTAAACCAGCTTTTTTTGAGAATTAACTGCTTTACATAAAATCATGATAAAGATTTTGATTGTTTGTGACATCAATCTTAACCATTATTGGCACTTCTGTTGGTCAAAAACAGTTCAATGAGAAACACGTCTATGAAGAATGAGGTCTCAGTACTAATTCTTGAAATTGCACGAATATACAACTGTGTGTGTATATATGCACGTAACTAATGTTCTCTGAAATAGAATCATGTAATTGTATTTGGAATTTTGAGCAGTAGTCCTACATCTGCTTTATGACAACTTTGCAAATTTTTTCATCTGAGTCTTTATTTCATAATCAGGGGAAAATATATATATATATGCACATAAAAGAAACATTCAAGAAGATGTGTATGCTTCATTTTCTTAACTTCAGCCCTAGACTTATAATTCTGGAAACAAAGTTCCTGGATTTAAGACATAAAATTTTAATAAAATGATTTTATACTTGGGATGAGGAAAAATCTAACTTTTGTGTTTAGTCTCTGTAAAGCAAAATACTCATCATGCTTTAACAGGTTGAATAAAATTTCATGCATGCAAAATTTATGAAGGTATCAGAAATTTATATTTTCATGGGGGAACTAAAAATTAATAAATCAAGAACAAACATTTAGTTCTATAAGGTAATAAAGACTGTTTCCATCCACACTGATTGTTTCAGCCCTATTAATTACCGGACAATGAATTTACATTTTGTAGCTTGCTTGAGTAATATCAAATTAGATATTATTCAACAAATTTTATGTTAAATAATGTGTAATTTTGATTAGTAATATGCAACAAAAAGGTAATTAAGTAAGTAAATTCGTTCTCAAATATATTGATGAATCTTGCACATAAAGGTATGCAACTTTCTAACTTACTAAAATATATCATATATTTTACTAATTGGCTTTTTTGTCTTACAGATAGAATATAAAAAACTACTTATAAAAACTTAACATCCCCAGACTCAATATTATTTTCACAAAATATTCTACCTTAACACTTTCAACCACGGAATTTTAGAACTTTTAAAAAAATGGGGGAAGGTTCTACAAAATGTTCTTTATGCATGTTAGAATTCCCTTGCAACATATTAGCAAGTTCCTACTATAAAATCATTCCACAAACAATATTCAAAAGCAAATATCCACAAGATGAGCAGGAAAGCACTTTAAACAGAATGCTAGATGAGTCCCCTAACAATGAATAGTAAAACAATCTCTACATATGAAGATGAAAACCTCCATTAGCAGGATTGAAAGAGTTAACTGGAAGCATGTGTCTAAATCTGTATGTATAGAAATGAAGCATGTAGCAACCTTTTTTTAATATGCTCTATAGATGAGATTGAGAAACTTACCTTTCTCTCCCACAAAAGGCAATGACCAAGTGAAGACATCCATAAAATTTGGCAACCAGTATGGATGAGGAGAACAATTAAATTGTCTGATATTCATAACATTATTTTCATATTTCAGTACTGCAGCTACAAACAATTTTATATACATTAGAAATTTTTTCACACAAAACATTATGAATATATGGAAACCTTGGTTCGCGGACTTAACTCTTCCCTGAATATAATTTTTCATTCAAAATATTCATAAAGTGAAATAATTTCCTCCCCCATAGGAATTAATATACAATGAATTAACCTGTTCCCACAACGCAAATGAATACTAAAAAAAACAGTATATTGTATGTAAGTTGGAAAAACAAAACTAATGGACATTAACACTACACAATATTTATCACAACACTAAAAGGTATAAAAAAATAGGAAAACTTAAAATTTTACTGTATTTTTGCAAAGGAAAGTTCATGGTACAAACAGAATATGGTGAAGAGGCCAAAAGTGCAAAATGTTATTTTCTAAATGAGAAATCCAATTTGGTAAAAATGCTAGAGAGCTGCTATCTTTGTGGGACTTTTTTTCTTCTTATCTCTTAATAATAATGTTCTAATTTAGAATCACTGAGCATAATTCTCATTACAAATTTGTCCCCCGTGATTTGTTTCTGCGAATGTTTTAAAATGTTCCTAAAGCATGCATTGTTATTGCTAAACTTTGTGCTATGACTTACTGCTTTATCAGGGTTTATGGTAATGTTTTACGAACCTTTACATCTTACCGTCATTCTGCAAAAATTTTGTTGATTAGGTGACTAGGAATATTTTCCTTCTGTCTTTTTATTCTGAAGACATTTCTTCCACCGCATTAACTGCATTTCATTTTTATGTATAATTTGTTGTTGGCTTACCTGTTCATGTTTCAAGACATTGTTTATCATTCGAGAAACATTTTTCTTTTTAAATTTGTGACCTATGGCATTTGTGAACCAAGGTTTCATTCTGCTTTTAAAATACATAAAACAAAAATCACAAAAAAAAAAAAAAAAAAAAAAAAAAAAAAATACAGAGCTGGAAAACAATACTTGTCTATTTTCATTGCTAGAAATTATTATTTATAAAGTAATGAAGATAAAAAATTGATATCACAGTTTTCATGCAGTTAACACATTATATGCATAACTTATAAGGTAATGTGAAAATATCTAATGTGATTCCAACTTTAGTTTTTGTATGAAGCTCTGTTAATATTATATACCATATATTCCAGCATATAACGTACACCTATAATTTTAAACTACTTTTTTTTTTTTTTTTTGGTACTCTCGCTGTATAAGTGCACCCTTTTCTTTATGATGAAACCTGAAAGATACAAGTGCAATGCTGTTATCTTTTGAAGTCATTCATTCGAAGATTTTTCACAGGCTTTCGAACAATGGTATACTGACAAATAATATATATGTGGGAGGAAATGCTTGAGGGAGAAATTCTGCAAAGAGGTTGGATTGTATTCAATGTAGTTGAGCACAAGAATGTTATTCAAGGGTATCAAGAAAAAAGGGAACATAATTTGAACTAATAATGCACTCTCGACCCGAATGAATTTGCGGAATCGGATGTTTTCTCTATCGGTAGTCCTTTGCATTTGTTTTAACAGAAATACAGTTTATCTAGCCTTTCTTTTAGGAGTAAATATGCAAAGATAAATTTTCCAAGATGCAGAGTCATTCAATGATATACCTGAAGATGTAATGAAGACGAATATGAACTTTCCATGTTATCTGATAATGAAATTTTTAAGTTCATAAGGTCTCTCATTTTTTTTTAAATAAACAGAATTTACATACAAGTAGAAATCTAATTTTTATATACTCATCTTTTCCTTACTTTTAAATCGGTCATTTATAAATCAGGCACATAACGCATGTCCATAAATTTAGATTTTATTTTGTTTTAAAAATGCCCATTATACACCAAAATATACAGTACACATATGTATACATATATAAATACATGAAGAAACATAATAAGAGGCTTAAATTAAAAGCAAATTTTTTATAACTGTCCTGCGCTTATACACACACACAGACTGATGAGCCAAAACATTATGACCATCCCCACATTTTTCAATGAACTTGTCTGGATGACGTGGAAGGCAATTAATTAAGTGGGAATGGTATTTAATTGCTGCCTTGGAGAAGGTAAGAAATCATTCTTGGACTTTTGTGAGTGATGGGAAAGGCTGCTGATGTATGCAAATTTGATGCAGGCCAAATCGTAATGGCCGAGTAATTGCACAACTGGTTAGTATTTATGCATTTCTGCCATTGTTAGTATTTATGCAAAGTGTATTAATGACGGTGAAGCTAGCAGTAGACACCAAGGTGTTGGATGGTAATGCATCATCAAAGAAAAGGGACATCAGACACTGTCCCTCTTAGTTTGGTAAAAATAGGCACCAGACTGTGGCTCATTTGACAGCCCAATGCGAAGCAGGTCCAAGTGCAAGCGTTTCGGTACACACACGTTCAGCAGACATTTTTGGATATGGGACTGCATATCAGATGTCCCACTCATATGCCTCTACTGACCAAGCATCATTGTAAACTATGCCTGGAGTGGGCCCAGGAACATTGAGACTGAACCACGAATAAGTGGAAGACAGTTGCCTAGTCGGATGAACCATGATTTCTCATTTATCATGTTGACGGTCATGTCAGGGTAGGCCATCTTCTAGGCGACACATTGCATTCCCCAAAACAGCAGGTCATACACAGGTTGTTGTTGGTGGTATTATGCATTGGGGAACGTTCTCATAGGCAGCTCTGGAACCATTAGTATTGGTAGGACAGACCATGAAAGCTGCCGAATATCTGAACATTACTGCGGATCAGTTGCACTCTTACATAGCATCTGTCTTCCAAAGTGGAAATAGAATCTTCCTGAAGGACAACACTCCATGTCACAAGGGTCGGATTGTGTTGGAGTGGTTCGAGGAACAAAAGGATGAATTCCAATTAATGTCCTGGCCACCTAACTCACTGGATCTTAACCAGATAGAGCACATTTTGGGATGTTATGTAGCAAGAGCTCAGAGATCAAACATCACCATGTCAGAATATCTCAAATTTGCAAGACCGTTGCTTAGAGATTAGGTACATGTCTTCAGTCTTATGGCATACACATCAAGGTGAGTTGAAACTGTTTCGCAGACTAAAGGTCGCACAACACGTTATTGAATAGATCATTTAAATTGCATGTACTGCTATTTTTGGCCCCCCAAAATCGAACTACTATTTTAAGAAAAAGATATGAGCTTACAACAAAAAATTGTAACAGCAATGCAGATAAAAAAAAGTGGAGAAATTGTATCCTGAAATTAGTAGAGTCCATGTCATCTAAAAACATACTGTTGATGAAATTTTTAAAATTAATTATTTCTAGGGATGAACACCATATTTTTGGATTATGATAAGACACTCAAGATCTATCTGGCTAGGAGAAAAGATGCTTTTGTGGAGAACGTTTTGAGGAAAAATGACTCATATTCACATTACACATGGGAAAAATATGAAATTCCCATGCAACTAAACCATTCACCATAATATGAATCCAGGTCAAATTACCAATGTTCAGTGATCTTAGTGCATGTCTGCTGGTAAGGCTTACCTAGTTTTTAAAAAATCACATTTAATTTTTGGAATAAACATCCAAATTCAGAAAGTATAAAAAATAGAATACTGAACATAATGTAGTAATTACTCATGTAGTTATTCAGATTTAGTTAGTGTTCAGCGTTCACTATGACATTTGCAATAACAATTCAAAAGAAATGTACCTTAGGTTCTCACAAGATGGAAATCAGCATAAAGTTAAAGACAGTATTTTCCCAATAACAAAGCATAATTATAACTCTGTGCAGAAAAATAAAATAAAACTGCTAAACTAAAGAAAACATGAGATAATTCTCCAGTTCCTTACATTTACTTAGGTACGCTTTTTCAAATCAATTTAAATATGACATAGGAATTTCATATCTGTTATAATTAAATGAAGAATCTATGAGTTGATGCAAATCATTAAGACAGACTCAGACTAACAGGCTGATTTGTAACTCAGAGCTGTGAAATTTGAAATATATGTCATCCACATTATGATAGTATGCCATTGAAAATGATTTTTCAAAAAGTCGATTTTTTAAAAATTTAAGGTTGAAATGATTTTTTGCATATGTCATCATTTAACAAGTAAAGTTTTAATGTTAATTAACTAGTTACTATGATTTTTTATCTTTACATAACTTCTTTCCGCATTCCTCACCTGAATGCAAATTCGCTTTAAGTATATTTAAACTGAAGGTTTTGGATGTCAGTGTGAGAGAGTTTCTGGCATTTGTGAAACACTGCTAGATTTGCTAGCTCTATCTGAAAGATATTATCCCAGCTTTTACATTCTCTTGCACATAATTGCTTTAAACTTACATACAGGTAAAGTTAGTTAAGCCATCTTAAAGCTTATTTTATTGCCCATGCAGTCTTAGACTACCTTTATCAATTTTTAAATTTAAGTATCTGTTACTGATTAGTTTAAATCACTACAAACAGTGGTTCATTTGTAGCACAAGTCATGCCTTTTATGCTTACAGTCAAATAAAAGGTTGTTTTAACCTTTACAAATCTTTGTCATACTATTTTCAGATGTAGTGATAACCTACTAGTTGTCTAATAAGGTTGTAAGACTCAAATTCAAGTATAAGCTCAATTGCAACCTTACAAACAAACAAACTAAACATCTCGGAACTTTACTGTGTGCAGCAACAGACAGAAGAGAAAAAAACAGTATTTTACAATTTTGAAATTTTCATAAATTATAAAAAGCAGCATTTGTTATTTTCAAAAACAAGAATTTTATAAAAACAACAATAAATAAAAATAAAAAAGTTATTATAAGACATTTTGGAATTCTTTCTTCTATATAGATTTTATTTACTTATTAATCTCTCTCTTTTCCCTGGCAAGAAGAATTATTTGCCAAGAAATCAGGTTTAATGTATAAGTCTTCTGGTCATTTTATAAATGTTTTCCCCTTTAGGAGAGATCTTGCATTTAATAGACATTTCATTCAATTTACCTCCTTTTTGAGTTTACTGTATAAAACAATTAAATTAAGTTTAATAATTAGCTGGTATTTAAAATTATTTTCAATGAAATCCGCTATATCATTTATAATTTTTTTCATCTTATATAGATTTTTATCCATATCGCATTTTAAAAGTCTATTTTCTTAATTTTATTCTAATGTATAAAATCATCTTCTTTTTTTAAGACTTACCAATTTGTGTGCTTAGTCTTCAGTCTGACTCACCAATCCAATGCACGCCAGACAGAAGACTAGCTACATAAGCAGTTATTTGATAAAATTCCAAATGAAAACAAATTAAATATATATATGAAAACAAATTATATTTTTCTTATATAATTTTTTTATATAAATTTAATACATATTTTTAAAACTAAAATTTTAAAAATACAAAATGTAAGTTATCACATATATTTCACAGATAAAATAAGCAAACATTTTAATCGATGAACATGATATTGAAAGGTAACATATCAAGGTCTTTACATTTGGAAAAAGAGTTTATATGATAATGTTGAAATAATGAAGGGGGGAAAAGATTTTTAATACCTTTGTTATTGTAAACATCCAAATAATTAGGTGCAGAAAATATAGTGATGAGGGATGGAAAGCCAGTTGTCTGACTCTTCCTGTACATTCGATAACTGAAATATGATCAAGGTTTGTAAGTAAAGGTACAAAAGGAAAGTATAAAACTATTATGTTTTGAAAAGGCAAAACTTTAAAAACAGCCATACTCAACAGGCTGATGTAATCAATGCAAAATTATTTTATTATCAACGGCAAGTTTATCTAAAGGCAGAGGGAAAGGCTTTAAAAATAAACTATGATTAGGAAGAAATTCACCTTGAAATATTAAAGCAGTAATTAATGCCCAATATTCAACTATCAGAAAAAAAGGAAAAGTTTGCCAATGATAGAGAATATTAGCAACCAATAAACCCAACACATAAATAATTTTAAACTGAAGAATAACTGAATGGAAATTAACATAACAATTACAAAAACATTATGACTTCAAATATTTTAAATGATATAAAAATACAAATTAAAAAATACTTCTATAAAACTAATATATTTAAAGAGAATGTAATAAGGTTTTATGAATAGCACAATTCTTGACCTTTTTTTAAATTTACATTGCAATATAATTGTCTATTCTTAATTCCCAATAAAAGAATATGCACAATTTAATTTAATGACAATAGAAGAATATCACATTATAGTATGAAAAGCAGTAATAATATAACAACAGCCTGTATCATGTTTGTTTATGAACAATTTCATGCAATAATTCCTTAATGAGTTTGCAAATGAGAATCAAAGTTCAATAGAATTTTGAATACCATGTGGAATGCAAAGTTAAACATTTACATAATTAGCTTTTTTTTTAATAACAGAAAATGTCATTGAATATCATAATGATTTTCGTTTCATTTCGAAATATATACATATTCATTACTTTAAAATTAATTCCTCTGGATGACAAGGGTCCCCCTCCTTGCCCCTACCTCTCTCCCCAAAAAACATTTTACAGATTTCTCAGAGGCAAAGTTTGGAGAATGTTGACTTAAAGAGCTTAGGTTTCATGAAGAGTTGATACAGTGTTTTCATATGCTAAGAGTACCATGGTTTTATAAGAGAGGAATATAAAAAAACTTTTTTCCATACCATATTTTTATTTTACCATCCATTTTACTACATAACATTTTCACATTCGAGTAGCTTATTTTAAACTAGCAGATTTGTTATAATTTAAAACTGTTTCTAGACGGAAATCTGCATACCAAAATCAAATAGCAATTTCTTTCCCTTTTCTCTTAGGACTACATTCATAAAATTATTAGTTGGAATATACTGCAAACTGAACATATTTAAAACTGTACCAGTTAAATTATATATAAAGAAAGATTTAAATTACAAAGAACTGAATTGCTTTTAAATCACTCACTTGATTAAGTTTAAACAATAATTTGAAAATATTATGTTTTGCCAAACAGCACACAAGATAAATTAAAAACCTTACATCTCACACTATAGCAAAATCTACAAATGTTGGTGATTGATATATTTATCAAGTATAAAAAATATAACATAATGGTCCAAAACTTTGGAAGGACTTCGCCACAACTATTTCTATCACGAAAAATATTCAGATACTAACATACAAAATCAAATATGTTAACTTCTAAGATGTGATGAGCTCCTGATGATGGACGGAATTTGTTTTATTAATGCAAAATGTTTCATTGAAGAGCAAGCTTACCATAAGCATAATTACAGTTATCTGATTAATGGATGCTTGCTGACTTGCTAACATTGTAGAACTTTGTCAATGGCTCCAGTCATGGCTTGGGATAAAACATGCTGGTTGGAAAAACACCACATTTTTGTAGATTAATACGGAAAAAAAAAAAAAAAAAAAAAAAAAAAAATACTGAAAGCAAATTTCGGAAGATTTGGTCACAAACTTTGGAAACCATGAATGGATCTTCCACCAAGATTCTGCACCAGCAAACAGAACTAACGGCACAAGACTGGCCAGCTTACACCACTGATTAAAGCACAACGGATGCTCTCTTCGCCATATTTTAAAGATAAAAGCTTATACGGTACAAAGTCCGAAATCCGGACTCGTCGGGACTTCGGCGATTCCGAATTTGGGATTTTTCCGGATATTAGATCATCAATTTAAATCTGGTAAGATGGCATGCAGAAATTATACAATTAAAAATATGAAGTTATTAGCTATGAAATAAAGAGCAAGTATGATCTAACGGGTATCAAAATTTACAAATAATAATAATAATAATAATAATATTTATTTGTTTATCAAACATTTCTTTCAATGTAAGTTGTTTAAGTTGCTTCGTTTTTTGTGCTAATACTTTCTCTTTAATTTTTATAAACAGACATAATTTCTTGTTCAGTTACAAAGTTCCACTGTTTAAGTCCTGCAATTGCTGTGTTGAGAATACCGACTAACTTGTCAATCGAAATTTTTTCGTTTTCAATTACCTCTCTGTCACTTTCTTCACTATCGGTAGTGGTAATTTTCTGGATCTAGAACCATACTACAGATTTTGTCGCTTATTGATTGATGATTGGGGCAATGTCATCGAATGAAAAACTTATAATAAATCTGCAATAAATGAAGATGATATAACTATCATCCTCATTTATTATCACTTCTCCTTTAGTTTGCGATATCCAAAAACCTTCAAATTCGTGGCTATCATCTTCATCGTCCTTACCATGAAATATGGTAGCTGGCCATAAATAATGCCAAGCATTTTTTAACATATCTGGAGACAATTCTTTACACAATTTTTGCTCCACACAGCAGATTTTATGCTAAAATATTTTAAAAATTCTTGAATGGTCTTGCCATTGTTCAAGAAAATTAACATGGATTTTAACAATGCTTATACTTGCAATTATACTTGCATTTCAGTGCACGCACTATTTTGATATCCATAGGCTTAATAACAGACGTACAATTTGGAGGGAATAATAATACGGATACATTATCTTTCACTGAAACTTTAAATGAAGTATGAGCTAAACAGTTGTCTAAAATCAGGACTATTTTTGAGTCATCAGAACTCAAATGTTGTCGAGCCTCGATTTTCAAACCAATCCATTCATTAACGTTTGTGTCATCCGTGCTCTTTTATTTGCACAATATATAAATGGGGAAAATCGTTACTCCTTTAAATGCTCGAGGTCATGAATGTTTTCTGATTATGAAAGTTTTGCATTATAAAAAAACTTCTCATCCCTTAATTTTGCTCAGTGCTTCTGCAAATTCCAAAACTTTTGTCTTCCTAAAATTCTGTTATCCGGTAAGAACATATTCTGCCACTGTTTATGGGTTCATGGTGAATAACATATCAGTTATTCTTAATTAAAATAGCACTAAATGTAATCTTTTGGCCTATGAGTTTCATTAGCATATGACAAGAGATTTTTGTTGAATTTTTCTTCGTCAACATTTCTTAGAGTATTTAAAAATCTATAATCATCACCAAGCATAATGTTACCTTAAAAGATTGCCATACTCTTGTTATTCAATTACTAATATATAAAAAAAAAATAGTTTAGACATCACTGCATGAGTTATTACTGAAGCTGTCATGTATTGATAAACATGCGGTGCTGAAAGCAAAATATAATAAATAATGACTCGCCAGGTCGGTGTCGGGGATATAAAATAGGTGAATCTTTCGGTTTGAGATGTATGCCAAACAGATACTCAGCTACGGAGCCAAATTATTAATGTCACAAATTTATGCTTACATGATTGTTTTTCCATAACAAGGCATTTTATTTAGTACCTAAGTGAAATTAAGAATCGTAATTTTTAAATGAAAATATTCACGTTTTATTAGGGAAGGAAAAATCAAATGAGCATGCGTAAAGCATACAAAAAAAAAAAAAAAAAGTGTTTGTGGCTTTGAGGTCTGGAATTTAGATCATTCCGGATAATGGATGTCCGGATTTCGGACTTTGTACTGTACTAAGCTTTATAATATGTTTGACATTCCTAAAAAAGTTCTGCATAGAAAAGATTGGCAAAAGTATTCAGTAAAACAGTTGCTGCCCATAATAAAATATTTTTGTCAAACTTTACATTTAGGTATGATAGTTATAGCCAGGTATTAGGGCTAGAGACAACCACTTTTTTATATATTTTAAAGACTAGCAAAGATAGTTTAAACAAAGGTTACAATATATTCCTACGTTATTTATTTTCGCTCTGAATTTTAATCACAGTTTTAAATATTTCACATTGATTTCCATTATTATGCAGAAATCATTCATGTACAAAATTGACATTAATATGCATTTTGTTTAAACATATAATTATGCTAATTATAAAAAGAATGAAAAACAATTACCCAGCATCTTGTGCCTCATGGGCTCGTATTACAGATAACAAATTGTTCTGTTGCAAGAATTCACAACATGCTGCATAACTATTTAAAAAAAAAAAAAAAAAAAAAAAAAAAAAAAAAAAAAGATTACTTTAAAACTTATGATAAATATGCATACACATTTAAGTACCAATTTCTTCTAAATTTGCTATAATGCACCTACAATATATGACTTGACAACAGTCAAAGTATAATGATATTATGTTGACATGTTGCAGCTATTTCAAGGAAATCCATACATTAAAAAAATGCATTCATACTTTAAATTTACAGTGTTTTCTCTAATTTGCAATTTCTATAATCTGCATGCATATTGATTACCTGTAAAAGTATGAACAACCCCTAACATTATTATGGCTGAAGTGTTCACTGTGCTTTTCATTTCCAAAATCTTCTAATGGATCAGACCATAGCAGGTCACACATAGGTCCAAATGCAGGGGGTTCTTTAAAACGATCCAACTGAAATTTAGAAAAATAATTTGATGGGAGACAAAAACAAAACTTCAGAATGCTTTAATTTCCCACAACACAACTAATCACCAGTATGATTGAATTAAAGACTATGGAATTTTTGTTTGGTTTATTTAATTCGTCTATAGATTATCTATCAAAGAAGAGATTCAATTACAGAGCATTTTTCAAGGGCAATTGGTTTGTATTCAAGGTCTTCACAGAGAAAACCAAGAACACCCATTGCAGTTACCAGTTCACAGGGAATAAAAACAAAGAAATATTTCTGCTTTAATCCACTAATTGCTGGTGGAAACCAGATTACAGACATTAACATATGAGCACATTAATCAGAACAATGATATTTTTAAACATATTTTTTGGCAACTTAAAATAATCATAATAATTTGTTACATTTATATGTGTGGTTCTTTCAATTTTTCACAATCATTGATTGTAAACATATACTTCCAAGTAAAAAAAAAAATTTGCTCTAATGATGCAGATATTCATGTTTTGACATTTTTTAATTTAAAAAAGTCAATTTTGCAAAAATAAAAAAAATCTATTTTTTATATGCCTTTTCCAGTTCCTATACTAATATTTTGGAAAATTTTATACTCATGATTAAAAAAAAAGTATGACACTCGCATGACAAAACTTAACTAAGGCTATTTCATATTAAATTTGCTCATCATATTCAAGAGCCATACACAAACTGAAGATCAAAACTTTTTGCATTTGTATGCTTCTAAGAAAAAAAAATAAAATAAAATAATAATAATAATAATAAAAAAAAAAAAAAAAAAAAAAAAAAAAAAAACTGATGTGGACACTATGACTGGTACGGCCTGTTAAATTATACACATTTTTTGCTGTATTTCATTTAAACTTATTTCCTCAAATTTAATTGGTGATATATTTTTCATTTAATTAATTCAGTTCTCATTTCGCGGATACTTAAAAACTCAAAATATCTTCATTAAAAATTGAAAAATATGGAAAAACATAAAACCCCAAATACAGTTAAAACAATTTTTTTTTAAATTCTTATAATTAAAACTAGAGTTTCTATGAAAAACAAACAATGCAGCCAGCAATAAGAAAGCAGATTCTTCAGTGCACAAAACTGAAAGTTTCCTTTTGGTTCCATCTGGCAAAAAGACACTGAAGGTGCAGAAACTGACTTAATTCACTATTCTGCTAAGTTTCAAATGTAAATAAATATAGCTGCTACATTAGGCTTAGCTGCACTTAAACAACTTTTAAATTTGTGATAATTCTACAACTATTGCATGTAGATTAACTAAAGGCATAAAAAGCTTATCCGAAACATAAGAACAAATGCACAAAAAAAAGGCACAATGTACCAACATACAAGAATAAAAAAAACTGAGTTCACCGAGCCAAGTAACAGAGCAGGTATACACAGGTTTTCTCAGTACCATGTTTCAGAACTTCCAGAAAGGGTACGGTGCACCACAACGACTTGGAATCATATACCAATGCATGATCTGAAATGCTTTTCTGACATGGTAGATGGCATTGAGCGGAAGTTCTGAAAGTCCTTGCAGGAAATTGTCATCTCGCATAAGGATGCACAATTAGTAGGATGAATAATTATACAAATGCGAAGTAAGCTGATATGCATTTTGGCATATGGAGCTGTAGATTGTAATGTGACAGCTGCATGGCACCTGTACACAGAACAACATCCTATGCGGCCTACACCCAGCCATAATTTCTTTGCAAGGCTGAACTGGAGGTTAACTGAATCAGGTTCCTCTCAAAGAGCTGCCATGAATCAGTCACGATATGCACAGACTCCGGACATCAAAGAGAATGTGTTACATCAGGTATGGGAGGATCCAAGTTTGAGTATGCAAAGTATAGCGCACACAGCTGGGGATTCCTGTTCCAACATCTGGAGGATTCTCAAAGAAAACGAAATGCATACGTATTGCATGCAGTATATCTAGTTGCTTTGACCGGGTGATTATGCAACTTTATTGCTTTTGCACAATTTTTGCTTATGGTATCTTGAAAAGTGTACTACAGATCTCTGTTTCCCCATTAATGTGTTGTTCACCGATGAGGCATCCTTCACAAGGGAAGGAATATTTAATGTACATAATGCCCACCTCTGGACAGGACAGAAACCTCATGCAACACAAGTCACTTTTCAGTTAATGTTTGGTGTGGCACTGTGGGAGATCACCTCATTAGATCGTAGTTGCCTTTTCGTCTAAGCAGTTGTAACTACTTGATCTTTGAGCAGCAAATCAGGTCACAACTTTTAGATGACAAACACATTTCTGCATCAATGCAACAGACTACAGATGATGGGGCCCCTGCCCACTTCAGCCATAACTTTTGCAGCCACCTAAACGTTAGGTTTGGGCAACAGTGGATTGGAAGTGTTGGCCCGCTCGCAGACCTATTATGTCTTGATTTCTTTTTATGGTGACATACGAAGACACTGATTTCAGACATCCTCGTTGACAACACCAAGTAGTTGCTTGCACAAATCGCAATACCTGCCATGGAAATTCGAGATATGCCTGGAATCAAGCACTACCTTTGACTCGAGTTACTTTTGTTCATGAAAATTTATTGTTGAAACGACTATTAACTTACCTAGCATCTTTTTTAATTTCTGATGTATCTGTGTACACCAGTGTGTTAGGAAAGCATTTCTGACTCTGCATTGCTATGTGATTCCGTATCATGGCGGTGCACTCTGTATGTACATATATATACTTTTGGTGCAGTCGATTATAACCAAAAAGGGAGGTGCACAATAGAACTAACTTTATTTTACTTCAAAAATTTGTTCAAAAAAGAATTTTAGTTCAAAAAAGCTGAAAATTATATTCTCTTTACTTATAAGCATCATGTTGTTAAGGCAAACTGGACATAAAGTAATATTTTACAAGATAGCACCAATAATTCACTGAAATAAGAAAAATAAAAGCACATATAACTCGCCAGAATAAAAATAAAAGCTCCAATAACTTACTGGATACTTTACATTAAAAAATATATTTTGGAATCAAAGACAAACTATTATCCACTTGTAGCATAGTAGCTAATTTAAAAATATCATGCATCTTTAATATAATTTAACTTACTATGATAAAATGGTATGTTTAATATATTTTGACAAACAAACAAAACAAAAAAAAAAAAAAAAAAAAAAAAAAAACTTACAGAAGCATTCATATTCCAATTAAAATTTCGGTACTTTTCCGTTTTGCCGGCCGGCTGCAAACGATAAAGTCACCAATTTAAAATTGTGTTATTGGTTGTTTATATTCTTGTCAAATTTTCCAGTCAGCACTGTAAGTCAAAAGTTATATGCAGACATTTGACAGCATTGGACACTGGCCTTTTTAACCACGCTCTATTGTTCAATAGGCATATGCACAAACATTTAAAAAATATATAATAATAGTAAACTGGTCTTCCCTTTAATGGACTTGAAAGACCACTCAAAGGCATATTTTAGCTATTAGTTTATCATTATCACACTTCCAACAAGAATCAAAATACAGTTCCAGATGTACTTATATAAAATATTAATATATTACTTTTCTAATGTCATCCAAGTTGTGCACTTCAGGTGAAAGACCTCCATGAACACAAAGGAACTGTTGATTCATTAGAGCAGATAGAGGTAAACAGTCAAAGGCATCCATACAAGCATCATAAATATGTTCAGAATACTTTATTTTACCTATTTAAAAATACAGGTAAAAATAAAAGAAAACCAATGAGAATATAATTTTAAGAAATTTTTTATATATAGCCAGGAATTGAATAATACATTTAATGGATTTATGTAACTTCACATAATATAGCCATATTTTATAAGTATTAAGTAAAATTACTCAGTGCAGCTTTGAAATAATCTTCCTAATTTCTTCCTAAGATTCCTAAGATTTCAGTAGCATAATTTAGATTGTGTAGAAACTAAATTTAGTATTAAAGGGTACAATATTGAAGTTGTTAACGAGTCTTCTGTTCATGGGTTATGAGGATTGAAGTGTATTTTTGGAATTTCTGTAAGACTTTTAAAATGGAGTCTGAAATGCAAAACTGCTATAAGAAGAAGGGCATTTCTGATAGTTTTTGTGTGGATTTGCAGTTAAATGGTTGCTGTTAAAGTATGTGGCTATTAGCGAAGTTTAAGATTTGGATTGTGGTTTTCGTGGCGTAAGCTATCTTTGGAGGAAGTTTTTATCGTTACTTCCGAAATTTTGAATCTCAGAAAGACATGTGATATAGCAAAATCGTGACACTTTTGTTCGGAGACGTTGTGTGACTGGCGAAATTTTAGTTAGCCATGTATTATGGTAAGTGCATTTTATGTTACTGTTTTTAATTTGTAGAATGTTATGTTCATTGTTTTTTTAATATGAACTTCTGTTGTTATACTTGTTTTTTGAATTGTTTGTAATTCAGTTTAGTTTATTTGGTTGATTTGTGTGCAATGCTTAGATTGTGCAATTCGTAGATGTTTTTTTAAGTTTAAACAGAATGATGTGTACATGGTATCCTTTGAAATTTATTGTTGTTATGTTAATTTATTGAAGCAAGGTGTGCATAGTTCGTAGATTCTTTCGCTTCCTAGAATGTGCAATTTGTAGATGTTTTTTAAGTTAAAACGTATCACTGTGTACATGGATTCTTGTCAAATATTTTTAGTTAGAAACTTTATGTTTTTGCTATCTAAATTTTTTGTTTCGGATTTTTAGCTTAAATTGTGTCTTCAAAACGTGGTTTTTGCATGTGTGAAAACCGCGTTTTCGGAAAAAATTTAGGCTTAAAATTTGAAATGTAGACATAAAATTTAAGTAGTAATATGGTGGCGTGGAGTTTCTCACCAAAAATGTTTGGCAACCTGAGGGCGCATATAAGAGTAGTTCCAAAAATTATAATTAGTTTACTTCAAACAGCAAGCAAGTTTGACAAAATAGTGTAATACAATTTTATACTAAAATGCTGCAGTTGTTAAATAAATATTTTCCAACATAATGAAACTGGTGTGATGAGAATCCCTTACAGATTAAGACTTAATCCAAACTCCAGCTACAGTGTTCAGTAAGAACACTTGCATTCATTTGTCCAATAACCGTTGCGGCACAAAGCATTCCCTGTGCTCATGACTATAAGACAATAAAAATTTCAGTTTGATTAAACATAATCATAAGTGACTAAAAGTAGTTCTGTTATTTTAATGCACCTTCTTTTTCCTTGTTTACTGTCAATGTTTAGCTATTGATGCCCGAAATTGCAATCCCATTCCAAAGGCGAACTTCACACAGGGTGAAAGCGTCCAAGAAAGAAGTTCTCACTTTACTTAAGTAGTTTATTGTTAGCACTGTAGAGTATTCAATTTGTCATTGGGGGGGAAAAGCATTCCAGGAGGAATTTGTAGACACTGGCGTGTTCGATGTTGGAGGAAAAGAGATTTCGCCCTCTCTCGATGTGAAAGAGATAACATTTTGCAATGAAATGATCATTTCAAAAAAATTCTTCACATGATAACACCCAGATGAAATATTTTTCACAAAAATACTTCAATTAAATTTCACTTTACACACAAAGCTCATAATTGGCAGATAATTTATTCTTCCGCAGTATTTTTAGCACACATTTAAAACAATTATAGAATAACTGCCTGAACATTCACACAGTCATACCCATATTTACATCACTAGGATGAGGACAAAGTACAAAAGTCTTATAACATTTATAGTATAATAAATTATTTAATATAATAAGTTGTTTCGAATAATTTATTATATTATAAACATTATTAAGAATTTTTTTAATTATAATAATTACTTAGAGTTAAAATATAATAAATTAGTATTTTAAATCAAAATTTCTAATAAATAATTTTAGCCATGCACATTTTGGTCAATATTTGTTAGCTCAATTATGCTTAAAACTGACATAATTTGAAATGATATTTTCAAATTTTTTACACTCTTCAGAACTAAGAGTTTCATATCCTGTTACAACATGAATATAAAATAAATTCATAAATTAAGGCATTTAACAAAGGAACTATAATTCAGTTAAAGCTGCCATAAAACAGCACTATCCTGTTTCATTAGACAATATCATACAAATATCACTTTACACAGCCAGCAATTATTGGCCGCTATTGTGAATTAATGATTTTGCAAGCCAGGAATTATCAACTAGCATCATCTTAATGTAACTTTATTTTCCCAGTAATTATCTGCCAATGTCACATTAACATAATTCAATTGATTACCAGCTCCTATGACAAATGTACAATTTTGAAAGCCTATGGTTTTACATATACAGTATTTGGAAATTCAATCATATCAACTAACTTCATGTTAACATGACTTCATTTGGGAGCAATTTTCAGTCAGCAACACATAAATGATTTTAATCTGCCCACATATTCATCAACTGGTATACTGTAAGCAAGCCTGTTCTGCCAGCATTGAGTATTTGATTTATTTAAAATATTTACATAAACTTCCGACATTTCTGTCTCATATTTGTAATGCATAATCAAAATGTTATAGTAAGTGGTGTTCATATAATAACTTTTTTATGAAAAAATTAAGATATGCTAAAAGCCTAGTATGGTTTTACAATTTCTTTCTATAGAAATCTATTTTGATTTGAATATTATTAACAAAACTGCAAAAGAAGCTGACAGCAAGTAATAAAATTTACACAAATGATGCTGGCAGACAGAAAGTGACTGAACATTATGGGCAGATAAATCAAAATATTAATTCCAACCAAAAGAAGACTAAGTGAATAACAAAATGTTCACTATGCACTAACCAAAAATGAATATCTATTATAGAATAATATCAAATGAAAACAAAAAGAACAGCACATATTATGCACTTGCTTATAAGAATTCAAATATTTTCACAACAGTATCATTGCTTAATAAATAGTCTCTTTAGTATAAAAGTTGAAAATTTTTACAAAAAAGAAATTACATTATTTTACTTCGACTCTGAAGTTAAATAATTGCCCAAACATTTTTGACAAAATGTAATATTTGTTCATAACCAGTTTTTTAAAATCCAAAAGGAACAAATTAATCTCAATATATGATTAAAATTTAAAAAAAGTAAAAAATGAATCATTTTGATAAATTTTGTTTATTTTTCAAAATCCTAAATAAAAATATAAAAATTATTTTCCATACTAAAGTTACAATAAAACTAAATTCTTCTCAACTTCTGCAGCTGAAAGTCATTTCATAGCAGTTAATGCACAACATTAAATTAATCTAAAACGTAATTTAAGCAATCGTAATTAAGTTTTTAAATAACATTTTAGAAGTCCATTCTGTATTTTGGAACTAATAAAACAGTTTTTAGGTGTCAACATGAACAGGGTTTTTTACAAACTTCTTTAAATGGCAGCCAAATTCTATTTACAGATGACTCTCATTTGTATTGGAAAGCAATTTCAGGCATATTACATACAGTTTTGCAAGAAGGAAGATACATGCAATAAGCCTAAAAACAAACATGAAAGGCACAGTAAAAAAATGGTATGGCCGGGCTTTATTCTGAATCGCCACACTGACCTACACATTTTTACCAGTGCACATTTTTACTATAAGTGTTGAAGTATACAGAAATGAGGTTCTTGATTCGTATGTCAAGGTTTTTATGGGCATAATCAGTAACAACTTTCTCCTAATAAATAATAATGCTTGTATCCATCTTGTTATATATTAATGACCAACTGTTTAGAGAGTGAGAGGGAGATTAGTTCCAGATGTTATGTAAAAGAACTAAAAAGAGTCCATACCAGTGAAAGCAATAATAATGATGATTAATTTTTAAACAATGTACAAAAGTACTGTCTAAATAATTTTGTAAAGTTTACAGTTTTTCATGGATTCAAACTTACATCCTCATATTCAATTATTTCAAATTTTGGACCACTGTGTTACTAGAACTTGGTGCCTGAGTACTAGGATATAGAACTTTTTCTATCCACAACACAGCAACCAAATACATGACTACATGCAATAAGCTTGCTAAGAAATAAAAATCATATGATTACCAAAACAATAAAACCAGCTATTGCAAAACCTGAAAATGCAAAATGTTAAAAACAACTTGTAGAAAAATTGCCTAATTAATAATTTTTGCTGATTCCTTTTCAAAATAAGGTAACAGATTTTGGTTCCCCAAAAGAAAATAAATTAAGTTAGAGGTTCAAAATAACATCATTTGGACATTATTTTTGGATCTAACTAATGCTGCAAAATTGAAATTCTGAAATGATCAATATCATTGTTAAGCAGGGATGTGTGCAAAAATCTCATAAAATGTCCTTTTAAATTAAATTAAAAATTTTCATTCAATTGTGGAAGAAACAAAACTCACATGTCAAATTATATAAATCTATGCCTTTCTACCATGGCTCCACACAAAACAGACACAAATGAGCTATTTCTTTCCTACAAGCAACTAATATTCAACTTATTAGGCATTTTTGCCCTCCTTTCTGTATGCCTTCATGGCATACAGAAAGTAACATTTGTAACAGTAGCACACACAGCACCTATTCGAGAGGTCCTGGTTCAAGTTCCGGTGAGGGCATTGCTCATTTTTTCAGGATTTTAAAAAAATCCTAATTTTTCTACAGTGCCACCCAAACTAAAAGCTGGTGGATGATGATTCTTCACCACTAAGATTTTGAAATTGGGTTCTCTAATCTCCAGTCGCCCTTTAAAAGGGGATGTATATAAGGCATTTTCTCCCTCTTTTCTAAATGCCTTCGTGGTGTAATTGTAGAACACACAGCAATTATTCGAGAGGTTCTGGTGCGAGTCCCAGCGAGTGCATTCCTCATTTCTTCAGTTTACTGACATAAAAAAAAAATCCTAATGACTCTACAAACTAAAATAATTTTATATTTTGGCTCATGCATCGAGTTATTAATTCAAACAATCTATATCCTATTTCAAAGACAAAAGTCAGAAAATAGCTTTCTTCATCTAATAAATATTTTTACATTTTTCTCTCTTCCCGACACCAGTTGTAACGTTATTTTTTTCCTTCACGCTCGTACGGGGTTCGTAGATTTGGAGTGAATAACGACGACACTTGATGAAGTATCGAATCACATTTTATTTAGCCAATATTAATCAGGACAGCTCCAATAACACTTTTTACAGTCGTAAAAAATCTACTATAAACATGCTGGAACAATCAGCGAGACAGCCTTCACACTGTCAGGCAATAACAGTGGAGATAGCTTCACTGCAAAACACCAGAGTACAGCTTTCGACTCTCCTTCGTCGTTCTCGGAACTCCACATACACTCGAGACTCTCCACACTACAACTCGCGATGCAATCGACGACACACAGAGCATGGCTCTTGACTCTTCGATTCAGTCATTCCCGGAGCTCAACATGCTCTCTCGATGATGCACTAACAGACTCCTTCGGTGCACTCGACGACCCACTCGGCACTCGCTGCCCGGCTGTCAACTCGATCGACTCTGCAGAGATTGTCTCGCTAGACGAGACACACTCACTCTCGATACTACTGACTGCAGACCATCAGGGTTTATATAGCTTTCGGCTTGTGTTTGAGAACATTCTGGGCTAAACCAGCAAGAATTCGTTCCAAAAGGTTCTCCATCCGTCCATGGTATATCGCCAATTTTATCACCAAATGTCTCCAAATGGGCGATTTCTCACCAAATGTGGCAATCCTGCCTTTCTTTGCCATTTTATGGCAACACCAAAACTACCGTGCGGGGAAGCCATCTCACCACACCTGTACATTTTGTAACAATATGTTTTTAGATGAAAAATCTTTTTTTTTCCACGTATGTGTTTATTAGCTAATTAATAATCAGTTTTATTTGAATTTTTTATTAAAATGCTTCTTTTAAAACAGTGATATGACAAATTCAGTTTAATTTTTTTTCTCTCTAAGTAACTCAGTACTTATACAGTTTCAAATAAATGCAGAAGCCCATAACTTCTTTTTTAGTGATTTGTTTCACATCAATTCCAAATTAGGAAATTAACAAACACAATAAAAAATTCAATAAACAATTTTAAAAAAAAATATTTGAAATAGAAAATTATACTTACATTCTGTTTTAAAGGTGAAATATTCTGTTAAGTGCCTGCACTCGTGATTTCCTCTTAATAAAAATACTGTGGTTGGATGATTCAACTTCAGCGACCAAAGATATAGAACACACTGAAATAAAAGATTTATTTACTAGACTTGAATTACATAATTATATCGTTCAGCCTTTTATAAGTTCAAATACACTAATCCGAAAGCATAAAAAATGCATTTAGCATGCATATATATGCAATGAAATATAAAGGTACGGCATCAAATTATGCAGATATCCTTATACACTAACTTAAACTTTTATAAGGAAAACTAATATAAATCCCACTAACAGCATTCGCAAACATAATAAAATTAAAAATGGGCAGGGGGGAAAAACCGATATTTTTCTGTAAAAGGGTATTTTTTCTCCTTTCATTTTGTATAAAATTGAAAAACACTTAATTTCACTGATGTAATAAACAGAGCAATTATTATAATAACTAAGAAAAAATTGAACTTGTAAGAAAATTTCAAAAAGTAAAATATGATTTAGGCAACAAATAAAAATAATAGGAAAACTTATTCAAAAAATAAATTTTCTCACTGGAAACTAATAAAAATTATACACTGTCAAGAACAAGATCAATGCAATGAGAATAACATAACAGCACACTATTCAAAAATAGCACTTTATTATAATAATAGATTAAAATTTGAAATGAACTAAACATGATAATCAAATTCTTTCCATTTATAAACTAGCAATAGCTGCCAGAGTTCGTTTCTAATGTATTTCTCCTCCCATAGTTTTTTGGCACCAGGTTCTAAAAGTTTAAAAATATTTGCATAATTTTCCCCTTCTTCTATGTGTTTAGAGAACAACAGGCTTCCCCAAAATGGATTCATCCACACAGTGACTGTTTTTATTTTACTAACAAAACAAACCCTCACAAACTACGGTAAAGGTCAACCCTTACAACTCTTTTCTTCTAACTGTTAAATTTTAAGTCAACATAATACAACCGACCCATCAAATCAAAGCAAACATGAGCAGACATTCAACCTATGATTTTGCTGAGTCAGTTGTACATTTACTTTCTGTAAATATTTATGTATGACCTATGGAGGAACACAGAAAACAATAAGAGCAGGTGAGATTGAAATTACTGAAAAGAATTGAAGCTACCTTATTAGATACAGTAATATTGACCTTACAATTTATTCTAACTGGAATGTGGGTTTCTTCTAAAGAAATAATATTGTGAAAGTTACCAGTAGTTTATCCCCGATAACTTTTCATTTATGTTCATATTCTAACTGTATCCTTTGGATATTAAATGTTTTGCATAATCCCCCCCCTGGATTGTAAACAATAAAATATGTAAAAATGGGGAGGAAATATGGTATTTCTGTATACAGAAATTAAGAGCTTTTAGGGACCATTAATGGAAAAAATTAAGAACCTAACAGCAAATTTGAACTGAATAAATTAAAGCAATTATCTATGCAAGCAACTTCACCTTTAAAATACTATTCTAAGAATAAAACATAAGTATATGCAAGATGCATTATGCATAATATACTTCAACAAAATTCCTTAAATGCTCATATTTTATACTTAAAATAGTAACATATATACATATATTTTAAGGGAGATTTACATTTTCACAGTTAAAAAGTTCTTTCATTCATGTTTATTTTATTCAATGAAAAATATTCATTAAAAAGTACTACTAAAATCAGAACTGAAAGAAATTTTGCAGTTCAAAGTAACAGATAACTCCATATATAATTTATTACAGTAAAGCTACAAAATATAAATCTATATCATTCATGTACCTTAATGTGAAAATTTCCCAAACATTTTAGCTAATTTATATCCATTTCCTTTTCTATAAAACCTTATCCAATTTCACTTACTTTAAAAAACAAGTCAACGTTTCTGTTGGTCTTTGCTTTATATGCAAATTTGTTAATATCTTCAATTATATCCCTTTGAAAAATAGTTTTCTTTTGATTTGTATAACTAAATTCTTTTCCAATAATGTCTCTTTTTATCTTTGAATTTTCAGATTTAGTTAAATATTTTTGTTGTTCTAAAAATCTGAATAGATTTAGAATCCACAAAAAAAGTTCCCATTCTTATTTTTGTATATCAATATTAGGAATAACTCCAGAAAACTTTCAGAAATGACATATGGTGCACTGAAGTATATAATATGAAGGTTTTAATTATCAACCTTCAATGTGTTTATTAAAATAGAATTTTTTCCCACAGATGCCTGTCTGAGTGACTAGATTATAATCATTTTCATAATTTTCCCATCCTGTGCCTAGTGAAAAGAGCAAAAATACAGGAGAGAGAAGAAAAATGTCATGAGAAAGACTTTGGAAATCAAAATAGAAATTTAAATAAATTTGTTTTCCAGCTTTTTCTAGAAATTCTCTAAATACTAAGAGAAAAATCATCATAAGCTTCCTGTAAAATGTGTTTATAGTGTGTTAATGCAACCTGTCTAAATTTAAATTGTGAAATCACAAAATTAGTTAGCACATCATGGAACCTTTTCTAGGTATAAGTATGGGTCTGCAGCACTTTGATAGTAATGTTCTCCCCCCAAAAACACTCTTATGTGAAAATCTGGTGTGCCTCAACTGCATAAGATTGTTTGGATGCTCACTAAAGGTCCTATTTAGGTGAAAAAGGGCCTCATCTCCTCACAGAATTCTCCAAAGTAAAGCAATGTCGATCTCTATCCTGGCAAGGAACGTCAGAGCAAATACCACCCATTTATAATTATTGTGTTTTAATTCCTGCATTTCATCTTGAATGATTAGAAGTGGAGAACTTTTCTCTAGATTTTCAATATTGTTGAAAAATTTAAATCCAGTTGTTGCACTACCACCAGCAATGGTTCCATGGGTATCATTAACAACTGTAGTTGTGACATTAGTAATTTTCAGATTCATTGATTACAATGTTTGAAAGCATGATCTTTATGAAAATCACACGTTTGCCTTCTTGAAGGTCACACTTTCAGCACAATACATTGAAGCATAGCCATCGGGACAAGGTTAAGACTTTTTTTTTTTCTTAAATGTAAACAGACTGCTTGTTGTTTTGGCAAATTCTTGTTGATAACACCTATCTTAAAAGACTGCATGAAAAGGCAATCCAGCAACCTGAAATTTTCATTATGGGGCGGCTGATTTTTCTTTGTGGTTTACAAGGCCAATTCGAGATAGCTCTGTTATAAGCCATGTGCTTTGAGTTCTATATTCATCCAAAATTTTAAATCATACTCAGAATGGCAGTCCTAGAAGAAAGATAGAAAATTCAAAGCAGCAAAATTAAAGACCATTTGGTGAGTTCATGCAAAATGAAGGACTTTTAAGGAACAAAAATCGCTTTCAAACAACCTGAGGATTTTTAAGAACTCTTGAGGACCATAAAAATGTAGAACTATTTAACCCCTTAACTGCCACAGGTCTATATACAGTACAAAGTTCAAGATAAGGATATCCAATATCAGGAATGATCTAAAATCCGGAAATCAAAGGCCACTACCAACTTTTCAAAAATATTTTATTATATATATATATATATATATATACATATATATATTTTGTCTGGTGTATTTGCATCCACATTTAATCCCCCCCTCACGCATAATAAAACATGTGGAGAGTCCTGATTCTCAATTCCACTTCGGCATTAAATAAAATACCTCGTTATTGAAGAAACAATCATTTTAGCATAAATTTGTATGATCAATAATTTGGCTCTAGCTTCTGATCATACATCTCAAACCGAAGCATTCTACGAATACATCCTTGATTTTACAACTACTAATATTTTATACCCCTGATGCCAACTTGGTGAATCATTATTTATTATATTTTGCTTTCATTATCCCATGTTTATCAACACATGACTACTTGAATAATGACTTGTGGAGTTGACTTATCATTTTTTTTTTTTTTTTACATTAGTAATTAAGAAACAGCATGGTAACCTTTTGTGTTGACATTATGCTTGCCAATGATTACAGATTTAAGTTAAATGCGCTTAAGAAATGTTGACAGGAAAAATTTAACAAAAACTTCTTTCCATATGCTAAGTAGATTTTGCTAATGATCCTCATAAACCAAAAGATTACATTTAGTGCTATTTGAATTAATAACTGATTTGTTATTCACATAAACCCAGAACCAGCGGCAGAGTTCATATGGCTGCACTGGGCACCAGAATTTAGGGAAGACAAAGGGAGGCACTTGGTAGGAGAATTTAAGAGCCACAGAGTTTGCATCAGGCACCGGCCCTCAAATAGCCTTAAGTATCTGTGGGGATTTATTTATTCAGGATTCAGATAAGAGTTAAACATGTGCAAGAAACAGGCATAAGTATAATAAATAACTACATTAATTTAATTCAGGCTTAATTGTCTCAGTGCACGATAGAAGCAGGATAAAATTTAGCAGAACAACTTGTCTTTAGTTGCCAATCTCATAATACATAGCCAAATATGTATAGTGAATGATAGCTAAATTTTATGATGATAGCCATGAATCCGAAGATTTTCCCTGAAGGTTTTCAGATATCGCAAACCAAATGTAAAATTTTCCAATTAGCAGATTTTGTAAAGAAATGTGGAGAAACGGTAATAAATGAAGATGATATAAAAGAAGTTTTCCACTGTGATGACAATGCTCCTCAATCATCAATCAATTACAGGATGGCGAAATCTGTAGTATGATTCTAGATCCAGAAAATACTGTTACAGACAGAGTGACAGAGAGACGAAAAATTTTCGATTGACAAGTTAGTTGGAATTCTAGACATAGCAATTAAAAGACTTCAACAATGGAACTTTGTAACTGAATAAGAAATTATGTCTGTCTATAGAATTAAAGAGAAAGTATTAGCACAAAAAACAAAACAACTTGAAAGAAATGTTTAATAAAGTAAAAACATAAATATTAAGCTTTTTTTTATACCCTTTAGATCATAAATGTTTCATTATTTCATAAATCATGATTTCATATTTTTAATTTTATTATTTCTACTTGCCATCTTACTAGATTTAAACTGATGATCTAATACCCAGAAAAATCCCAAATCCGGAATTGTGAAGTCCCGATAAATCCGGATCTAAGACTTTGTACTGTATACGCCTTGCTCGGCTGATGCATTAACCGCCCCGAGCATATGTATAAGCCCTTCCGAAATGCTTGCTTTACACTGCTACCAGTAAAATTATTCGCAAAGCTTTAGAATGCAACATAACAATGACTTTGAAGAGTAAGCAAAGGAGAATACTATTTCAGAGAAGATGGGGGGAGGAATTAGAAAGAGGGATGTTTCTGAAATGGTGAAAATAATGACTGCATGATTATTGCTTATGTTTCTGTTTGAGTAAAACATAGTTTTTTTATTCTGTGTCTTCCGTTTTCATTTGCTGTTTGGAGAAAGTGGTGGTGAAAGTAATGACTGCGTGGTTATTGCTCGTGTTTCTGTTTGAGTAAAATGTATTCTTTTTATTCTGTGTCTCCCGTTTTCATTTACTATTTATAGTAGGTGCCAAAAATAAAGAACGATGTACCAGATGTTTCAAATCCACTTATCTTTTTGAAATTATTTTTTTATTAACTGCTGTCCTTCATATTGTTACTGAAACTAACCATTTTGCAGACCAGTATATGAACCAACATGCTGCAAAAGAAAAATCAAGAACAAAATCAAGGCATTCAACCAATTCAAAAGAAATCTATGTTTTTTTACATATACTGATTTTACAAGGTATAAAACTGAAACCTGATATTACATGTTACTGGTCTAAAAATAAATTGATCGAAACTCCATTTTGGGGATCTTTTTTACAATACATCATTTTTATTATCCTTTTACTCTAAACATTAAATTTTGTATTTTCAGTTTTATTTTTTTAAATTCTTTATTTTGTGAAAGTAAACAGGTTTCAGACAGCAAAACTTGCACTTATTTCCCTCAAACACATCGCATAACTATGTGCCCCTGTGTAAAAAAACGGCGACACTAGCGCGTGTATCTTGTCCGTTTTCCACGGCAGTTAAGGGGTTAAACAGAAAATTTCTAATATGCAAGCAAGCATGTAAATAGATATTTAAGCATTATTTTATTGTAGTATTGAATACACATCATATTATACAATATAAAGGGCATTAAATCCAATTATTTTCATCTGCGTACTCAATTCTAATACACAATAATCCACTTTTCAAGCCTAATTGTTATGGTACATCATATTAAGTACTGTTTATCAATAAATTACATCATTTTCACTTCACACTTATTTAAACTCTTTCAGATACAAAGTGATGATATTTATAATGGAAATGCAACCAATACTAAAAGAAAAACATTAGTATACATTAAGTGTGATAGAAAAAAATTCAAATAACAATTTTTTATAATTTACTATCCTAAAAAGAAACATCTTTTTTAACAATGTTAATTTAGCAAGCATGAAAACTAAATGATTATTTATATAGATATAATATGGATACTTTTTTGGTCATATAACATATAATCTAGTAAAAATAGTTTACAATTAAAAAAAAAAAAAAACCCACAAAAATATGTTGCAGGAGCATAACAGAAAAGTAAAAATATATGTTCCATGAATACTTACAATTAACATAAAATTTATGTATGATTTAGACAAAAGGGCAGAGGCTGATATATTATACTAAAACTTATGAAAAAATTAATATTTAGAACACAAAAATTTAATGCTATCTATAACTAGACCATATGTCTATACGAACGGAAGAAAATAATTACAGTATAATACCTCAATTAGAATAATATAATACAGGATGTGTTAAAGGAACATTACTTATCAGTTCTTACTCTACAAGTAATAAACTGTATAATAAACTGAATGTAGGGAAAAAAAAAAAAAAAACTAATAATGTACTGGACACAAACCTCTATGCTGAAGTATCCTCTATCAACATAATCACCCAAAAATAAATACTTAGTTGTTGCAGGAGGTCCCCCAACTTCAAAGAGTTTCATCAAGTCAAAAAATTGACCATGTATATCACCACATACTGAAATAAGATACAATAAAATAACTAATTACACATTCACTTTTAAAAGCACTCACACACACACACACCACACACACACACACAAAAAAAAAAAAAAAAAAAAAAAAAAAAGAGGGCTAATGCAATAATTCATACTGAGGAAAAAATTATTTTACAACACATTAACAAGTTCTATTTTAGACTCCATCTGCAACAAAATTGACAAAAATTATGAATAAATTTGATTTACTTTTTTACTAATGCTAAGGAAAATCTTATGCTAATCATAAAGATTGATGAATATTATGCAATATATACATATAGTGAGAGAGAATTGTACATTTAACTGTAGAAATAATTTTGAAAACAAGATACATTCACATTCATTAAATTGTAAGCACTGGAGGAAGAAGGGAAGGAGAAATGTGAAGCAATTGGAAATTCAACTACCAAAGAAAATTAACATTTATTTTAAATTATGCATTTTTATATTCAGTTCAGTGTACTAAATTTCGTGTACTGCAGATAGAATTACTGAAATTCTACTGCAAATAGAACTAAAAAAAAACTTAATTATTTTAATAATTAAAAAAATCTGATGTGTACACCACATGACTTCCTTGTATGGAATATTAAATTATACGCATTTTTTCTTGCATTTTGTTTAAACTTATTGGATTTAATTATATCTACTTCGCCGACAGCGCATAAACCACAATAGAATAAGTGCATTGTTTAAAATTCACTCTATTTGTTTACCACTCTGGCGCTAGCGACACTCTGGCGCTAGGTTCACTTAACAGTATTATATTTTGTTTATACTATAACTCAGAATGCACAAAATTTGTATCATTTAAAGAATTATCTAATCGTTGCCACATGTTCTATTCAAGTACTATAATAAAGCTAGAAAGATGTATAAAAGAAATTAAGCAAACAAAACAAAAAAGAAACAGTTTTTCACAGACGACTGAGTATTTCTCATTCAATTAATTCAGTTCTCACTTCGCAACAAGGCAAAAATACATAAAAACTCAAAATATCTCTACTGAAAATTACTAATTATTAAAAATTAAGTAAATCTTAAACACTTATTTCCTCAAAAACTTCCAGACAGGATTAAGAATGATTTAAATCGCAATAATAAATGAAGGCGTTTATCTTTGTTGTTGCGAAGCTACGTTTCTCTAGACTGGCAACAAATTCACTACTCAACTGTTTCAAATGTAAACAAGCAGTCGCCGCTTTTTCAGATGGCCCAGACTTTCCTTTCCCCATCGATGACGAATAGCTGATAGCTTTGCACTTTGTAATCGATTACGAAGTCTCGATACTTTGTTTACGTTTTATGCGGAATTGTGGTAAGGTTGTATGTGGAAAATCTTGCGGAATTGATAAGGGCCGCTCTTCATATTTAATTTTTTTTTTCTTGCTGTATACGAGAGTGGACGCAATACGAATAAATCTCTATGCTACAGTCAATTATTTCCATTATTTGAATTAATTCATCGTGAGAACTTTAAAAGTCTTAATAAATAGAAACTTACTCATATTGCTGATACAAAAGTATTGATATGTTTTGTTCAGTTCTCTTGTTAATAAAAAACAGAAATTGTGCATGTAATGACAGTAAAAAATAGCGAAAATTTATATATGTCTGTATTGTTGTCTAAGTAGTAATAATGCATGATTATAAAATAAATATTAGAATCTACTGAAGTAATAACCATAATTACATATGTTAGAACACAAGAATCTAAATTTTTATTTATTTTAGTGATCTGTATTTTTTTTTTTTTTTTAATTATGTTCACAGATACTAATTCAGAAGACAAACAACAAAAATCAGCGTTATATTTACATAATTTCCACAGTCAATAGTGGTATTAAGGATTTGGTTTTCTGTGGAAATTTTGTAAATATAACGCTGATTTTTGTTGTTTGTCTTCTGAATTAGTATTTATTCGGCGTGTTATTGTGTCTTAATTATGTTCACAGAGTTCTATTTTAAGTTTCCTCCAGACAGCAGAGATGCGTGTCGTAAATTTTGTACTGAAAAACACAAAATTATGTTCAAAGAAAAGAAATTCATAAATTCTGCATTGCCTAGGATTGCTAGTTAAAAAAATCATGTTTTCCATTTCTCCACATCGAAAAATTATACAGGGAGGGGAGACACCACTTCATTTGACATTTGATGTTTTATATTAATAAAAATCCCATAGTTTTAACCATTGAGTCTAATTTTAATCCCTTTTCATTGTTAGCTTTTAAGGAAATTTGCTTCTTATTTGCATTTTGGTCTCTCTCTGTCAATAGTGGTATTAAGGATTTGGTTTTTATCATTTAACCAAACTCTCCAGTTTCTTCTGTTGCTTCTCTTTCCTTACACCCAGTGTGCATGCCGTGCTGAATGCCTTATTTCAGATTCAAAATGTATTGACAGAGAACAGTATCAGGACGACAAAAGTGGCTAATTTAACAACATAAATAACATTGGCATCAATTATCCTCTCCCTAAGACAACCACTTCCGTAGAAAAAACCGATACCCAAAGGCTAATTCCATCATAATAACTTATCTTTTACCCGGTCATTATTCAGCGAAACCTTTCTATTTGAAAATTCTGTGATTATCCTTTGTAATAAAGGCCCAAGATACAACCTCCACCACCTGCGAAATGCATAGCTCTCTTTGTACAGGATCTCTGTGGCTGTTACTAGAAGGCACTAAATAGGCTTTCTTATTCTCTGTTTGTTATTAAGCGTGTGATATATTTTTGTGCATGTGTACTTGATAATGTTTACATATATATATATAATATATATTGTTTACCATTGGAAATAAAAATATATGCATTACAAATCTGAGTTATTAAGCACATTAAGGCTGTTTACACCTTTTGTTCCAGAACAGATATTCAAATTAAATACATTAGGCAATTTGTGTTTATTTACATTTGTTTCAATAATAATGTTTTTGTTGGCATTAATTTCTCTAATGGTTGTTTAAGGCCATTTTTTATCCATTCATTTATTGAAATATTTACATTTATTACTTTTTTTTTTCATTAGATAATCCAAGAATTTTATATATGGTACAATTTATGGTATAGGCTTGTATATATGCAATATGAATATTTTTTTTTAGTTTTCCAGAAGAAAAAAAATTCTTATCTTCTATTTGTGATCTTATTATCGGATTGTGTTATAAAGTATTTCTCTTGCCTTCGTAGCATGTCTACATGATCAGCACACTCCCCACATATTCGAGAGGTCCATGGTTCGAGTCGCGGGGAGGGCATTGCTCGTTTTTCACGTCTCTCAGCTTTTAAAAAAAAAAAAAAAAAAAAAAAAAAAAAAAAAAAAAAAAACCTAATGTCTCTACAGTGTCTTCTTTAAAATAAACAATCTGATGGAAAGAAAATATTTTGGTGATTAAAACTTTTTAAATCACTGCTGTTTACATCTACATTTCTTTTTTTCACATAATTTGAAGTTTACAAATAGTTTGAAGGTTTTCAAACTATGTTTCAGAGAAATTTTAGATCTCATGCAGCTCCTCTGGGGCATCTGCAAGTCAAAATCAAAATTTAAAACTATTTTTAATATCACTGGACATACTTAAAGAAATATTTTTTATTCTATTGTTATTGTTACAAAAATAATATTAAGCAGATTTGTTTTTTATGATTAAAATTATAATGAAATAATGATTTTCTTTTCACTTTCTGCATAAAATCCACAAATTTTGTATTTCAATTCTTTTTTAACATTTATTTTTCTGAGGACGGAAATGCTTCTCTGGAAAAAATTACAATTTTAGAGTTTTTTCTGATTTCACATATTTGAAGACAGTTGGATAGAAAAGCCACAATTTTTGAAATCGATGAATAAATACAGCGCTGGCTTTTGTTATGTTTTATGCATTTAATAAATTTCCGCCCGACTGTTTATTCTTTAATTCTACCTAACACAATCAATCAATACTTGTTTCTAATATAGAATTTTAGCATCAATTCTACACAATAACATGAGTAATCTTTTTTAATTGAATTTTATCATTATTAACAAAATACTCTGGCATATGAACTGAGAATTTTTTCCTTGACTTTTATCTTTCAATACTTTAGGAAGTGGTCATTGATTTACATCTATAATAAAAGAAATGAATGCCTGTATGAGTTTTAACATATTGTTAAAACTCATACAGGCATTGATTTTAACATATTGTTAAAAATGCAATAAACCTTAGCTCCTTTGTTCCATGAATAATGTTAAACTCCCTGTTAAGTATTTTCTTAGCATCTTCTATGTAACAGTATAGACTCCATGATTATTCCTTAAAATTAGAAGTATCAGAAATAGATGCAAATATGTATTGTCTTCTGCATTAACTTACAAAAATAAAAGTGTGAATATCTGAATGGAATTATATAGAAAGAGCTACACGACACTACTTGATTCCATGATGATCATTTCCTACTATACTGGAAATATTAAATCAAACAATAAGTGCAGGAAAATGATTCAGTAAGAGGATATACTCTCTTCTGAAAACAATACATTTGACTGTAGTTGTTCCATATGATATTTCTATACAACATTCCAAAATCTTGGTAAATAACTTTGTAAACCAAAGTTTACAGTGTAAAAAAAAAAGTAGTGGGAAAATGTTGTACAGTCATGTAACTGGGCTACCATACATAAAAATTAAGCAGTGTTAAAAGTGTTTTTATCTTAATTGCCTGTTACAACCAAATAACTAGATATGAGAAAGAACATGCAGTGTCAGTACAGCTAGATGATCCCTTTTACAGAGTTGCTAATTTGAAAACAAGTTAACCTATCAAACTACCCTTCATACTGGTTTGCTTTAGATTCATTTGATAACAAATATGCCATTAAAGTCTGTACCAATCAATCAATAAATCTTGTTACAAGCAAGTTTTTGTTGTCAGGATGCTGTTCATAATTGGTTTTCTTTTGGTGGTATAGCAACAGCGAAGGGAGAAAGATTCTGGGTAATTTAAATTCAACTAACATAGCAAATTCCATTCTTCTGTAACTTTACAATTTGATACAGCATTATTTTTTTAGAATTTTATTCATACTACTATTTCATCCATTGCAGACAAATTCCACAAGTGCATATTTTAAAATTAATTTCACATTTAAAAAGAGTATGATTTGTTTATAAGTATGATTTGTTATTAAAATAAAAATCATATTTTTATTTTTATAAAAATCATTGTAACTTGGACAAATACACACAAAAAAAGGGAAAAAAAAACATACAAAAATGGTGATGCTGCTTATTAAAAACGGAAGAATTCGTTATAGGCACATACACATGGTTGACACAGTTTCGTGCATACTCGCCGAAATTTGTTGTGGTAATATGGGTAGTCAAAAAAAATTTTTTTTTTGTCATTTTGTATTAAAATTATTAAGGTGTTGATGGCTATGCTAAGGTTACACAAAGCAAGGTAACGTACAGTAAGAGCTATGTCCCTTAGGTAAAGGGATGCCTTTGAGAAGGTATTTCTATGAGAAATTGACTTGTATTCACATAATACATGAGAAGAAACAGGAAAATTCCCATGCAGCTATCCCATTCACCAGTATTTGTACCTGGATCAAACATCCAGTGTTCAGCTATCTTATCTGTTAGTCTACTGGTGCCAGTCAAAACAGACAGTAATGTAATATTATACAAGCTAAGTAGCATTGACTTATACATCACTAAAGAAATAAATACACTTCAGAAAACTTTCCTGTTTTCCAAAACTGTCAACATCTTCATTATTATAACTTCCTGATATTTCAACGCATGTAATTTTATGGTGAACTATTAACTTAAAACAGAATATTTTTTTGAATTGGTAGTGTTTAATTATAAGACTTATTTTGAAAAACATTGTTCGTGATAAAACTAAAGAATGAATTTTCTTTACACACTGACTGTTAAATTATTATATTTCAAATCAACAGATTGCAATTATACAATAAGACAGGATGAAAAATACAGTAGTCATTGAGGCAATTGTTGAGTTTCTGAAGAAACAACAAAAATTTTCAAATCTAACACAGTATACCCTGTTTAATGTTTAATATAGTATGGAAGGTTTTGTAAAGCATCAGCTATTTAAAAAAAAAAAAAAAAAAAAAAAGCATGCAATAGCTGACAATGAAACCAAATAAAAATCAAACAGAACTCTATTACAGGTTATGCAACAAAATTAATGAATATAAACATCTATAATCAATTTTTTTTTTTTTTTTTTTTTTTTTTTTTTTTTTTTTTTTAAACTTGGACCGGATCTTGAAACATCAACTAGATCTTAGGCAATAAAATTAATAAAAATTTATGTTGATAAGTACTTAAGAACAAAATGGCCAAACTTTCAACTAGATAACCAAATCAAGCATTTGCATTCTAGAGGATTTTATTTACTTCACATACATACATACATTATCTTTACATTTACTTTCATAACTCGCATCATACATAACATACTCTTATCATCGAATGATTATGATTTTCTATAGTAGTAAGCAAATTTTTTTAACAGTTTCTACTTCGTGTCTGCAAAGTATTCCTTTAAATTGCAAGATTTCGCGATATTCATTTTCCTTCTGACAAAGTTCATACATGAATCCAAACATCAAAACCTTCGCAATCGATAAACAACGACCATTCCATTATTGATGACAAAGGTCTGCCTATCGCTAGTAAAAGGAAAGTCTGGGCCATCTGAAAAAGCGCCGACCTAAACAAGCAATGGCCGCCATCAAAATAGGCTTAGCGGCACTTAAACAACTTTTAAATTGTTGATAATTCTAAAAATATTGCATACAGATTTACTAAAGGCATAAAACCCTTAACCGGAAGATAAAAACAACATAATTCAATCATTTTTAAAGAAAAAAATGTACAATTTACAAACATATGAGTAAAGAAACTGAGATCACTGAGCCAGGTAACAGAGTGGATATATTTATAAATATATTTATATACGTTTGGCGCGGCTGATTGAAACCAAAATACAAGGTGCACATCTACATGTCATAGTAGTCCTATACACAAAATTTCAACGTTCTCTGAGTCTACTCGTTTTTGAGTTATGCGAGATATGTATGTACGTACGTACATACGCCATGAAAAATTCTCTTCAGAATTCATTTTAAAGCAGTTTTTTAGGAGGAAAAGAGTCTTTTATTCTGTCCTTACGTACAGATATCACGCAAAAAATCATTAAATTGCTTTCGAAAGCGGTCAAAGTGAATATTTTCGTTGAAATATGCTGCCTGAAGCTTTTCGCGATTACAATACTTCCTTTTTATTTCGTACAAGGAAGTAAAAACACTAATTTGACAGCTTAAATACTGGAAAGTGATACACACCTGCATAACTTATTTAGACTTTTTCAAGAATTTGCATTTCTATTATGATTAGTCACCTAAGGTTCATCTAGTTTTATAAGTACACTAAACGTTCTGATCATATCTGATAGTCTCTGGAAACCCAATAAACCTTTCTATTTGAAACCTGCACCACGCTAAAATTTTGCTTTTTAGCCCCTATTAGTCTTGAAATGGTCTTTTGCATTGAATCACTATAAACAGCTGAATCACTTTTCAAATTATTGCCAGCAAATATTCTTGCCCAGTATTATATTTAAAGACATTAAATAATACAGAATCTGCATGAATGTATGCATATTCCTCACATTGTGAAAAAACAACTAATTTAAATATAAATCATAACTCTACAAAACAACTAATTTAAATCTAAATTATAACCTCTATTTAATAAAACATTCCTACTGTAACAAAAATTCATCAAACAATTATAAATGAAAGTTTTGCAAAAGTTCACATTTTGAATATCAGAAGGGGTAAAATGAATACATGTATGAAAAATTAACAAAATCAGCATTACTATTTCTTACATTAAAAGAAGTGAATACTAATAATTTGCATTATCAGACTAAACTTATTGCTTAATTTTATTCACAAACTGCAACTTTAAAGAAAAGAATCTAACACTTTTGAGGAAGGAAAAAGAAAAAAAAAATTACCTGTGACGGGTGCTTCTATATCTATCATTGTTTTCTCAGATCGTAACAAGGCTGCTCCCTCATTGATAATTTTTAAAGCACAAGATTCTTCTAATCTTCCTTCTAATACAAAATGTTGTTTTAGGACATCCATACGAGGCTTTCCTGTTTTGGAATCAAAAACCTCACTTGTACTCAGCTTGTGACTGGGCGGAAATGGAACACCTGTAATATAAATCGTTTTTAAGTTTAGAGAAAATCATTACAATAGACATTCAATTAATCACAATAATACTGGGAAAGGATTCACTCAAAATCACAGTATTCAAAATACCAATTATACATTACAGATTATGTGAAATTAAATTATATACTTTTGGATAAAAAATATTCCTAAATACATTAACATCATCTGCTATCAGTGCTGTTATCCCTTCCAACATTATTGAAATTTTGCTTTATTCTGATAGTTTGTTAAAGCAGTTTTTTTCATCATTTCATGAAAAATGAACTTAATTGTTTTTTGGTCATTGCAACCTGATTAACTAGAAATATATTTTCATGTTTAAAGGAAAAACTAGTGTGATAAGAAGGAATACAGATTCAACTACTTATCTACTGAATTCAGTTGGGCATTTTCTGTTTTTTTAATATAATTTTTCCTGGTATGTTCACAAATGAGAAAAGGTACATAAATTTAGGCCACATATACTATTTCATTGGATTTGTACTGCAAAATTTATAAATTTGTATGCATTCATTAGAATTGCTTACATTTTAATGAGAATCCAGTAAGTAACAAAATGGAATAATTTAAAATTTTTAACTTTGGTTAAATGTATAAATTTGAACTTAATACAGTTTGAACCAAAAAATTTAACAAGAATCAAAGTAGCCTAAACTTATCTCTTTACAGCAAATAACATATAACATATTTTTAACCAAAACAATTATTTTAGATATAATTTTTTCTTAAAAAGGAATAAATATGTAACTTAATAATTACAAAAAATAATTATATATATGTGTGTGTGTAATGATTCCGGGAACATAGAAGAGGCCTCAGCTCGCAGTCGTCATGGCTGAGAGTGAAGGCTTACAAATGAAGACAACAAAACATGAATTTTATGAATTTCCAGTCTTTGTTTCCACACATATAAAATCATCTCCATAGATGATTATCCAATCATAATGAAATCTGAGACATTTTTATGATTTAATTATAACGAAATATAATAAATTACTATTTACATTGATTCTTAAAATGGTTAGAGTAGATTGAAAGGTGCCGCTTGTTCTATCGTGAAGTTGTTTAATTTTATCGCCAAGTTGTTGTTTCATTTATGGTAACCAGAGTAGTTGAATGTTATGGAAACCTTATTATGATGTAATCAGTTGTATGATTGTGGTAAATTTTTTATGATGAGAAAAGATTTGTAACGGCTTGTGGTGTGTGTTGGTTAAGAAGTACATTGCTTGTTTTGTGGTTTAGATGGCAGAATGGCTGAATGTGGTAAGATTAATTTGAAGTTTCTGTACAATTTGAAACAAAAGTGGAAAAGAGCATTAATTGACTGGTGCATTAATGAAGGTTTACTTAGTAGCCATTATAAGTGTCCTCCTGTTTGTAGGGAAAAAATGTGTATGTTCGAACGTTAAGATAGTTCAGATGGCTTTGAATGGGTTTGTCCCAAAAAAGCTTCATGCAAGAAATGCTACTGACAGTCCGGCACTACGAAGGATTAGGAAGTTTTTGGATGCTGTTAAGGAATTTTGTGTGACACAGAAATTTCTAAATAAGGTAAGTGGATATTTGCCTTGTGCAGTGCTTAGATGCATAAGATGAATTTCCTTTTTTATGTTATTTTATTGTTTATTTAAAATGTAGTTTATAGATATTATGCATTTTTTGTTTGGCTCTACTGTAGAATTGGATGCTCCTTTGACTTTTTAAGTGAAAATAGATCGATGTGTACAAGGATAAAGTCAAAGGAGTGCGCAATGACAAATTTGTGCAATTCTCTGATGATTTTTTTAAAGTGAAAATAGGTCGATGTATACATGGATAAAGTCAAGGGAGTGTGCAATGTTAAGTTTGTGCAATTTTCTGATGTTTTTTTAAGTGAAAATAGGTTGATGTGTACATGGATACCCAGTTTGTACAATTTTTTTACTTGTTATTTTGTCTTTGTGTAGTGGCGATGTTTGGCGCAAAAATCGCTGCTACATAAAGCAAAAATAATAAGTCAAAGAATTGCACAAACTCGGTATCCATGTACCGCGAAAAATTGGCAATTTTCGCCAAGGGGCACCCATAAATATATTTTTACCCTTAAAATTAAACGGGAAAGCAAAGCGAGGAGATATTAGCAAGGTGGAAGCTAGCAGAAGAAGTAATAAGCTGCCAGGGGTATTTATACTACGGTTGATGTAAAAGTACTGCTAATAGATGATTGGTCAGTTAGTAGAATTATATAACGTTGAAAGATCTCAAATTTTTTAGAACAGATGAATTTAGTGGAAGAGCACCAAATTTAGAACGTTAATTTTGAGGTCCCCAATTATTTTTTTAAAGCAGCTATCGTATTTTGTTATATGTTACATATATATATGTATGTGTGTGTGTAAGATATAACTGATAATAGATGTGTAAGATATGTAAACTGAGGATGATGGTTCGGTAAAGACCTGTGAAAATTGAAAACAAAATGCTGATTTTTAGTGTTTGACCTCTAAATTAATACCTGTCCGGTGTGTTATTGCATCTTAATTAGAGGACTAGTTCTCTTACTTTATCAAGATTTGGTATAGTTTGTCATAAAGGGAAAAAGCATGCATGTTTTGCATTTTAATTATATTTAGTGAAACTGGTAAACATATTTTGTTTTAAAAATTCTTAATCTTTTCTGTGTATTACTGAGTGCATATCTGAAAAGTTCAGAACTATCGCATCCACCCAACCATCACAAGAATCACTGGACAAATCGCTATGTCGCTGAAAAAAAGCAACCCGTAATTTTACGAAATGTATTTTATCTGGCAACCCACTAATGGTCATGCATGTAGTTTTGTAACAAATTATAATGCAACAGTAGAGTTTGCCTGCTAATGGAAAAGAGAGCATTGCATTGAATGTATATCAAACGATGCTTTTACAAATAATCAAACTATACAGAAATGTACTGTTAAAAACTGCCAGCAAAATGCTCAAATCAGACATCTGGCTAGCATTATTTATCTCCTTTGTTACATCATAACAGAAATCTTGCAGCTCAAAAGTAGTTTATGAACTGTTTCTTAGGTGATTACAATAATAGTTTCCTCTGAATAAGTGCAATTCTCTGATGCTTTTTAAAATTAAAACAGGTCAAGCGCAGTGTCAAATTGCTCTGCAATAGTAAGAATTTTGCAATTTTTTAAGTTAAAACAGACCAAGAAAATAGAAAGTTAAACGTTTCATTATGGATGTTTCTTGAGCTTTTAATTTTATTAATTTCTTGCTGTTTTACATAACTTTCAGCATGCTGCTTCATTTTTTAAAAAAAAGGGTAGTGAAATGCTTGGCGAAAAATTAGTCATCAACATGTCGACTTTGCGGAAAAACTGGATAGATAACGCAATAGTACGGAAAAGTATATTAAAAATTTATAATTTTATTTGCAGGCTCAACTGGATCCAATCACATCATCTGCGTGTAAATTTTCACTACAGCAGTAAAAGTCAAATTTTGCTTTGAAAAACATAACATTTTTATTTTACACTGTAATACTCATAAGTGAAATAATAACTGTAAAATTGACAAAGTAGGAAAAGAAGTGTAATAAGTAAAGGACCTTTTTGTAATAAGTAAAAGACATTGTAATAAGTAAAGGAAGTGTAATAAGTCCACCGTTTTTGGAAAGACTGCCACTATCTGTTAAAAAAAAAAAAAAATGTTATGCGAGCCACTTCCAATTTTTCCAACATACTCAAAATTTAAAAAGATGCAAAATTTTTTCTTTATAGACTGAATATGGGATTTTTTAGCAAATAGCAATTTTTTATGCAAGTAGAGGATATTTAAAAAACAATATAATAATAAAACAAACATACAGACAAGAGTTTTATTGTTAATAAACATTTTTAAAGGTTCACTCAGCTAGGTTATGTATAAAATAAAACTGAAACATTTGAAACATTTCATTCTAAATAATTATTAAACAGCCAGTACTTAATGCGATTTTTGAAAATGCAGTTTTTTTACCAAGTCATCTATCTATATTAGGATTAATTCTTGAAGATGCTAACAAAATTAGATGTTTTAGGTGCATATCAGTTAACTTTGAATGATATTTTGATTTTATATGTTCATAATAGAAAACATTTGTTCATGAAAATATGTTGATCCAAACCTACAACAAGATCTGAAATCCACATCATGTAAACTTGGAAAATTGCTTGTTGGTACAAATTTCCAAAATTCAATATAATTTGAATCAGTTGCAGATGAAATAAGTTCCTTATATTTGCTTTTCAGAGTAGTATGTGCTGTAGGTCAACAATTTTGATTTTGGTTTCATTTGGGTAACAATTAACGTCCTGCAGAGAAACAGAATTATTATATTTATTCTAATGTGTTTTATGTGTGTATCTATTGATTGAATTGATACATATATCATATCATTATTTTTTCAAATCTTTTAATTTTGCAATAAGTCTTTGCATGCGACTGGTAAAACTCCAGCGTGCCACACCGTGGCACGTGCGCTGCAGGTTGGCAATTCCTGCTTTAATATTACATATCGCAAAAGCTTAAGTTATTACAATACATAATCCTGGAAACAAACCCTTGCTGAAAATCATAAGGGATGTCAAGAACTCGTTTCTTTCATTTTCCTTTCAGTCTACTTTTATCTTTCTAGCATGGGTACTTACATATTATCCCATCAATCATCAAAGCTGGCAGAGATCCAAACAAAGTTTTGACTATGGAATTCTAAACACAATGACAAACAAAGTTTTGACTATGGAATTCCAAAGTTCTTATGGAATTCTAAAGACAGTGATGCCTCTTTATTAATAAACAATAAACTAATAAACAATCAGTATTCAACAGATTTCATTTCTGCACTTTGTAAAAAGACTTTCGTCAATTTATACTATTTTGTTAAACACTGCAATTTTATAAGAAAATCTGCTTAGAATACGATTATATCTTACTTTCCACTGATAATTTTTGCAATCTT